AGTGGTTCCTAAGTGTATGACAAATAACTGCAGAATTAAGATAGAAAATTAATAATATCCAGAGAGATATGAATCATATACAAATCGGGGGTGCTATAAAATTTCAGGACAAACCTTAACATTTTTGGGGTATTCACTTAAGCTTTCTTCCATTAATATATTATTTGTCCACTTCATTGTACTTAATTTATTGCAAAATTCTCCCAATTTGATTTTTTTTTGCCCTCAAAATACAGACTTAATTACTTATTGAATGCCTTAAATAGCAGATTTTTATGTGGTTTATACACCCTCATATGCAAATGTTTAGGCACAGCTAACCAAGTTATATGTTTTGTTGATTTTCTAAGTGAAAAAAACTTACCACAATACCTGCAATGAACAGTTACCCTTATTTCTGCAAATTTTTACATTTTATGCATTTGCTGAAATTAACTGACAGAAAAATATGAAAACTGTCAAAGTGGTATAAGCAAATGTTTGGGCACGATTTCAGTTCATCCACTAATAATTTGTTTTGAAAGGTTTCAGAACTTTAAATGTCTATACTGATTTGTTAGGCCTCGGTTATAGTCTAGTGGTGACAGCACCACAGTTTAAAACATTCTCTGACTCTTGGTAGCTTTCAGAGTGCTTACATTCAACTACCCTGGTTGATAAAGGTACAATCTGGGCAACATAACATCTTCATTAGAATTAAGTTCATATGGTGCTTGGCATTGGTTTACCTCTAGGTATTAAACCATTAACAAACATTTTAACTTTAAAGTCTTTAGTCTGATGCTGGTCAGCTCTGCCCCTCAACTTCTATTGCAGAACGAGGTTTCAACCAGGAAGCCTCAGACAGGGGTGCCACTAATGCCTCGTTTCCACTGAGCGGTACCGTACGGTTCGGGTATGTACGGTCTGGTACGCTATATTGAGTGTTTTCATTATGAAAGTGACCCATACAACTGAACCAAACTGCACCATTCCTGGGCCCCCTTCAGCAGTGGTGTCGCTAGGGGGGCCATGGCCCCCGCTACATCATGCTGTGCTCCCCCTTGGGCCCCCCCAATTGCCGGCAACTTGCTGGCCATGTGTTTAAATTATATTCCCTCGGACTGTAACAGTGTGTTACAGCCCGAGGGAATGCAGGACAGAGGGGCTGGAACGGAAGACTGACAGGCTCCCCGGCACAGGCCCTGCCCCCAAACAAAGCCCCGTCTCCCGCACATAAGCCCCGCCCCCGCCGTTAAGCAGCAGACCTTGCTGCTGCTGGAAAGGATAGAAGATTGATCTCTGACCCCCAGCAACAGCCTCCAGTGACAGGCAGGCTTAATGTGCTTGTGTGTGTGTCTCTGCTAGTGAGGAAGCTTGTGTGTGTCTGTGTGTGTATGGACTCAGCAGTCTGTGTGTGTGTCTGTGTGTGTGTGTATGGACTCAGCAGTCTGTGTGTGTATGAACTCAGCAGTCTGTGTGTATGTGTATGCACTCAGCAGTCTGTGTGTGTTTCTGTGTGTGTATGAACTCAGCAGTCTGTGTGTGTGTATGAACTCAGCCGTCTGTGTGTATGTGTATGCACTCAGCAGTCTGTGTGTGTGTGTCTGTGTGTGTATGAACTCAGCAGTCTGTGTGTGTGTGTGTGTGTATGAACTCAGCCGTCTGTGTGTATGTGTATGCACTCAGCAGTCTCTGTGTGTGTGTGTCTGTGTGTGTATGAACTCAGCAGTCTGTGTGTGTGTATGGACTCAGCAGTCTGTGTGGACTCAGCAGTCTGTGTGTGTGCATGTATGGACTCAGCAGTATGTGTGTGTATGGTGTGTGTCTGTGTATGTGTATGAACTCCGCAGTCTGTGTGTGTATGGTGTGTGTCTGTGTGTGTGTATGAACTCCACAGTCTGTGTGTGTGTATGGACTCAGCAGTCTGTGTGTGTGTGTATGAACTCAGCAGTCTGTGTGTGTGGAGTCAGCAGTCTGTGTGTGTGTATGAACTCAGCAGTCTGTGTGTGTGGACTCAGCAGTCTGTGTCTGTATATGGACTCAGCAGTCTGTGTGTGTGTCTGTTTGTGTATTTGGACTCAGCAGTCTCTCTGTGTGTGTCTGTGTGTGTGTATGGATTCAGCAGTCTGTATGTCTGTGTGTGTGTGTATGGACTCAGCAGTCTGTGTGTAAGTGTATAAATCAGCCTGTGTGCATTCAGCAACGCCTGTGTGCATTCAGAAATCTGTGTGTGTGTATGTGTATACAGGGCCGGTACTTGGATTTTTAGGTGCATAGGCGAAGATGCATTTTTCCTCAAAAAGAAAATCTTCACCTATGTGCTTCTTAACCAGCCCCTCTCCCCTCCCCGACCATTAGTGGTCCCTTCCCTTCCCTGTCCCTTAGTGTTCTTCTCCCCTCCCCCCTTTTTTCCCTGTCTCTTGGTGTTTCTCTCCCATTCCCTCCCTGTCCCTTGGTGCACCCCACACCCCTTTAGTGGTCACACTCCGCTTCCTGGTGTGCCTCCTACCTCTATTGTTGCATTGACGAGCGGAGCAGATCCCCTAAAGGAGCTTCAGTTTCCTGTACCCGGCTGGACTGACAGGGAGTGCTCTCTCTGTGAGCACCTCCTGTCAGTCTGGCCAGGTACAGGAAACAGAAGCTCCTGTACTGCGCTCTGCTCCACTACACTCTGTACACACTGACAGTCACACACTCAATGACAAACACACAGACGTCGCTGACAGACACAGACTCATTGATCTGACACACTCATTCATTGACACTGACAGACCCACACTGATTGACACTCATTGACAGACACACTGATAGTCACACACAGACTCAATGACCAACATACTCTCACTGATTTGACAGACACACACTCATACACTGACAAACACACTCATCATACACTGACAGACACACTCATACAACATCACTCACAGACACACACACTCACACACACACACACAGTCACTCACAGACACACACACAGACGCACACAGTCACTCACACACACTGTCACTCACAGACACACACTCATACAATCACTCACACACACACACACACTCAGTCACTCACACACACACATGCACACACACACTCAGTCACACACGCTGTCATTCACAGATGCACACAGTGACTCACACACACTGTCACTCACAGACACATGCTCAGTCACTCACTCACACACACACACACTCAGACACACACATGCACACACACTGTCACTCACAGACACACACACACAGACACACACACTGACACTCACACAGACACACACACACTGTCACTCACAGACACACAGACACACACACTGTCACTCCCAGACACACACACTGTCACTCACAGACACACACACAGACGCACACAGTCACTCACACACGCTGTCACTCACAGACACACACACTGTCACTCACAGACACACACACAGACACACACGCTGTCACTCACAGACACACACACTCAGTCACACACACTGTCACTCACACACACAGACACACACACTATCACTCACAGACACACACACTGTCACACACAGACACACACACTGTCACTCACAGACACACACACGGTCACTCACAGACACACATCACATACATTCACTAATAATTTTATAAATACACATTTTCCACCCAGCCTCCCTACCTGGAGAGCTGGTGTGGATGATGGATCAGTCCCTGAGGGCTGGGGGTGCTGGGGCTGCTGAGAGGCATGCGGCAGTGCTGTGATCAGGCGCGGCGAGGGAGCTCTAATCTCCACCCTCTGCTCCCTCTCGGGCTGCCTACTGATGATGTCATATTCCGTCTCCCGCGGCACCAGTAGGCAGCGCGTGAGGGAGCAGAGAGGTTAGAGCTCCCTCGCCGCGCCTGATCACAGCACTGCCGCGCCAGGGGTCGAGATGGTGGCCTGGCAGGAGGGAGAGCTTCCCTCCTGCCGGTCACTGAAATATTGCACCCCCAGAGCCCGTGCGCCCTAAGGCGGCCGCCTGTGCCGCCTTTTGGACGCGCCGGCCCTGTGTGTATATTCAGCAGTCTCTCTGTGTTCGTATTCAGTGTACTGTGTGTATGTACTCAGCAGTCTATCAATAATTATTTTTTTTATTCCTGTGAGTTGTTGTGTAGGAAGGGTCTTAGTGCACTGCTTTGCCCCGGGCCCCTTAACACTGTTAAGATGGTACTGCTTGTGTGTGTCAGTGAGCTTCTACTTAGTGAGCATGTGTGTGTCGGTGAACTTGTCTTTAGTGAGCTTGTGTGTGTCCCTGAACTTCTTTGTAGTGAGCCTTGTATTTATACAAGTGAGTTTGTCTGTAGTAAGCTTGTGTGTGTCAGTCTTTTTTGTCTGTCAGTGAGCCTATTTGCGCATGTCACTGAGCTTATGTGCTCACTGTACAATATATATATATATATATATATATATATATATATATATATATATGTGTATATATATATATATATGTGTATATATATATATATAAGTAGAGATTGTAGCCGTATTAGTCCAGTGATGTAGATGTAAAAAAACAGATAAAATTCTTATCTTGTAATACCTTTTTTATTGGACTAACAGAGTTTTTTAATGACAAGCTTTCGGGAGAACCTCCCTTTCTCAAGTCTGAAGCATTTCTGAGCAAAACGACACATAGAATTCAAAGTTGAGTTGTGATACAGGGGTTAAAGTGACATGAGTGTAGATAAGACACAGGTTTGTTAGAAAATAGACACCATCTTAGCAGAGGGTCATAAATATCTTGTTGAAGAGAATAGTAGGGGGGAGAGAGAGAAAAGAAAAACAAACAAGCAGACAGTGCACAGGATGATACACTTTATACATGCACACACACAGAAATATGTATATGTGAACGCATAAACACATGTATATATACATATACATAAACACATATACATACATGCACATGGACTCATATACACAAATATAAATGCACAGTAATATATATAAGCATTCATGCATACGAGTATGGGAAAGCATAGGTCTACACATGGTACTTTGTATATAGATAGAATAAGCATATAGGAATGCATTTTAAAGTGTTGGTACACATGAACACTGGGAGAGTGTTCATGTAAAGTGTTGGTAGTGGGACAGGAATCCCAAATCAATATTTAGTCCTCTCTTCTTGCTGTTAAACCATTTAATCATTCTGGCTTCAAAGGCTTTTCTTTCCTGGGTATTTTTAAAACTCCCTTTCAGTACTTTGATTTTTAGGTCTTTCAGTGAGTGGCCAGGCTGGGTAAAGTGGTGTCCCACAGGAGTGCAGTATGATTCTTCTTTGTGGTGTTTAATAGAGTGTCTGTGCATGTTCATTCTGCCATTTAATGGCTGGGTGGTTTCCCCAATGTAGCATCCTAGGTGGCATTTTATGCATTTAATCATGTATACCAAAAACTATTACCAAACAAATCAACTCTGCTGTAAAAACGCCACGTACGCGCCTGCTACAATACAGAGAGAAAAAAATATGCACACGAGTGCCACTTGTGGTCACCTACAACCCTGCTCTTGAGGAAATACGGAAAATCATCAAAGACCTACAACCAATATTAACAGAAGATGAGACTCTGAAAAACATTTTCCCTGAAACACCCATTTTGGCCTTCAGACAACCACCAAACCTCCAACAAAAATTAAACAACAGGAGGCTGCCCACTGATGGTAAGAACGAAGAAAACGGGACCAGTCAATGCAAAAAACCTCGCTGCAAACTGTGTCAGCACATATGCACAGACAACACAGCCACACACAACAATAAAACCTACAGCATTAAAGGTTCATACTCCTGCACATCCAGCAATGTGGTATACATGATTCAATGCATAAAATGCCACCTAGGATGCTACATTGGGGAAACCACCCAGCCATTAAATGGCAGAATGAATATTCACAGACACTCCATTAATCACCACAAAGAAGAATCGTACTGCACTCAGCCTGGCCACTCACTGAAGGACCTAAAAATCAAAGTACTGAAAGGGGGTTTTAAAAATACCCAGGAAAGAAAAGCCTTTGAAGCCAGAATGATTAAATGGTTTAACAGCAAGAAGAGAGGACTAAATATTGATTTGGGATTCCTGTCCCACTACCAACACTTTACATGAACACTCTCCCAGTGTTCATGTGTACCAACACTTTAAAATGCATTCCTATATGCTTATTCTATCTATATACAAAGTACCATGTGTAGACCTATGCTTTCCCATACTCGTATGCATGAATGCTTATATATATTACTGTGCATTTATATTTGTGTATATGAGTCCATGTGCATGTATGTATATGTGTTTATGTATATGTATATATACATGTGTTTATGCGTTCACATATACATATTTCTGTGTGTGTGCATGTATAAAGTGTATCATCCTGTGCACTGTCTGCTTGTTTGTTTTTCTTTTCCCTCTCTCCCCCCTACTCTTCTCTTCAACAAGATATTTATGACCCTCTGCTAAGATGGTGTCTATTTTCTAACAAACCTGTGTCTTATCTACACTCATGTCGCTTTAACCCCTGTATCACAACTCAACTTTGAATTCTATGTGTCGTTTTGCTCAGAAATGCTTCAGACTTGAGAAAGGGAGGTTCTCCCGAAAGCTTGTCATTAAAAAACTCTGTTAGTCCAATAAAAAAGGTATTACAAGATAAGAATTTTATCTGTTTTTTTACATCTATATATATATATATATATATGTGTATATATATATATATATATATATATATATATATATATATTTTGACTTATAGGAATGGCATACTTTGGATTCTCAGGGATTCCCAGTTTGGTTCTGCCAGCGAGTGCGCTTTACCGCTGAACCATCTGTGTGAGCTGCCGCACACTTTAGCCTTGTTACATGCATCTGGGAGCTGCTGTTGACAGGTACTAGTAGTCTAGAGATTGGGACATGGGGTATATGCCGAGCTATCTGTATAATACTATAGTGCTGTTCTGTGTATAATACAGATCTGTGTGTGTATAATATCCCGGGATAGTCAGTGCTTCCTGTATAGTGAGAAACTGCTATGTTTACACCTGGGGTTAATCCAACCTCTAGCGGCTGTCTTCCGGACAGCCACTAGAGGTGCATCGGCAATGATTGAGGCATATTATGCATCAATCACGCAGAGCGTCCATAGGAAAACGTTGAAAAATGCTTTCCTACGGACACTTTGAATGCGTTGCGGCAGTGCATTCGGCGCCGGTGACGTCAGACAAGGATGCTGACGTCGGCGGGGGAGGAGAGGTAAGGGAGCCCGGCGAGGGGGAAAGGGTGAGTAGCCCCTTCAACGCCGCGGGAGGGAGACCCTGAGGGTGGGGGCACTCTCAAGGTACTATAGTATCAGGAAAACTAAGCGGTATCATGACATGATACAAATAATGGTATGTAATGAAAACCCCTCTTGTCCTGAAAAAAACAATATATAACTTGTATGGGAACCGTAAATGAGAGAGCGGAAAATTACAGCCAAACACAAACACCACAAAAGTGTAAAAACTGCTCTGGTCCTTAATGTACAACATGGCAAAAACAGGCCAGTCCTTAAGGGGTTAATTTTGTTACAGGTGTTTAGGAATACAGGCAGACAGCGCATTGGCTCTCTGGTGGACTACAACTCCCTAGAGGCCCCGCCGCCCACACTGCTAGAGGAGCATCACGGGATATGTAGTCCTTCCCTTGGCATTGCAGACTGCTAGAGGAGCATCACGGGATATGTAGTCCTTCCCTTGGCATTGCAGCTGTTGAGCAGTGCCTTTTTTCTTTCACGCGCGAATTATCAGTGATCGCAGCACGCCACCGCTTCGAAGCCCTAGATGCGCCTTCCCTGCCCTCGCGCGCTCGTATTCCAGCACGAACTATACGCCCTTCCTCCCGCTAGTCTGTAATCCGGCTTCACAAGCCCCGCCCCCAAATCACCGTGACGCTCACTTCCTGTCTCCCAGAATGCCTTTCTCTTTCCCCTATCCCCCTCCCCGTACTCTTGGTTCGCTGTAGCCTGTGTCGCTGGGGTTTTTTTTTTTGTTCGTTTCATAAAGTTTCATCCCGTTTGAATCCCTTTCCTCTCCTCGCCGGCAATCATGGCGGAGTACGATCTGACCACCAAGATCGCCCATTTTCTGGATCGCCACCTGGTTTTTCCGCTGCTGGAGTTCCTGTCCGTGAAAGAGGTACTGGGGGCGGTGGGGGCCTGGTGCAGGGGGGAGGCCGGGGCTGGTTCTACTAAATAAGCCTGCTGGGCTGAGGCAGCATAATGGAGGCTGGGCCACGTGTGTGCAGGGCCCTAACATGGAGACTGACCAGGACAGGCAGGGCCCTAACATGGAGACTGACCAGGACAGGCAGGGCCCTAACATGGAGACTGACCAGGACAGGCAGGGCTCTAACATGGAGACTGACCAGGACAGGCAGGGCTCTAACATGGAGACTGACCAGGACAGGCAGGGCCCTAACATGGAGACTGTGAGCAGGACAGGCAGGGCTCTAACATGGAGACTGACCAGGACAGGCAGGGCTCTAACATGGAGACTGACCAGGACAGGCAGGGCTCTAACATGGAGACTGACCAGGACAGGCAGGGCTCTAACATGGAGACTTACCAGGACAGGCAGGGCTCTAACATGGAGACTGTGAGCAGGACAGGCAGGGCCCTAACATGGAGACTGACCAGGACAGGCAGGGCTCTAACATGGAGACTGTGAGCAGGACAGGCAGGGCCCTAGCATGGAGACCCAGGACAGGCAGGGCCCTAACATGGAGACTGACCAGGACAGGCAGGAACATGGAGACTGACCAGGACAGGCAGCTCCCTAACATGGAGACTGACCAGGACAGGCAGGGCTCTAACATGGAGACTGACCAGGACAGGCAGGGCTCTAACATGGAGACTGACCAGGACAGGCAGGGCTCTAACATGGAGACTGTGAGCAGGACAGGCAGGGCTCTAACATGGAGACTGACCAGGACAGGCAGGGCTCTAACATGGAGACTGACCAGGACAGGCAGGGCTCTAACATGGAGACTGACCAGGACAGGCAGGGCTCTAACATGGAGACTGACCAGGACAGGCAGGGCCCTAACATGGAGACTGTGAGCAGGACAGGCAGGGCCCTAACATGGAGACTAACCAGGACAGGCAGGGCCCTAACATGGAGACTGACCAGGACAGGCAGGGCCCTAACATGGAGACTGTGAGCAGGACAGGCAGGGCCCTAACATGGAGACTGTGAGCGGGACAGGCAGCTCCCTAACATGGAGACTGTGAGCGGGACAGGCAGCTCCCTAACATGGAGACTGTGAGCGGGACAGGCAGGGCCCTAGCATGGAGACTGTGAGCGAGACAGGCAGGGCCCTAGCATGGAGACTGTGAGCGGGACAGGCAGGGCCCTAGCATGGAGACTGTGAGCGGGCCCTAGGGCCCTAGCAAGACTGAGGCAGGGCCCATGGAGACTGTGAGCGGGCCAGGCAGGGCCCTAGCACGGAGACTGTGAGCGGGCCAGGCAGGGCCCTAGCTAGACTGTGAGCGGGCGGCAGGGCCCTAGCACGGAGACTGTGAGCGGGCCAGGCAGGGCCCTAGCACGGAGACTGTGAGCGGGCCAGGCAGGGCCCTAGCACGGAGACTGTGAGCGGGCCAGGCAGGGCCCTAGCACGCGTGAGCGGGCCAGGCAGGGCCCCTAGCACGGAGACCCGTGAGCGGGCCAGGCAGGGCCCCTAGCACGGAGACCCGTGAGCGGGCCAGGCAGGGCCCCTAGCACGGAGACCCGCGAGGGGCCCAGCGGGCTAGCACGGAGACCCGTGAGCGGGCCAGGCAGGGCCCCTAGCACGGAGACCCGTGAGCGGGCCAGGCAGGGCCCCTAGCACGGAGACCCGTGAGCGGGCCAGGCAGGGCCCCTAGCACGGAGTTATCCCATCTCTGATTACAAAGTAAGAACCCATGGGCAGAGCCCTTGCCTGGCATTAGGAATCAGGGCTCCCTATGGTTCAGGGTATGGTTATACCTCCTCTATAAAACAGCCAGTGATCACAATGAAAGTGAGCTCTGCTTCTGTAACTGGGAGCTCTCACTATACCTGTAAGAGGCCATGGACAGAGCCCTTGCCTGGCATTAGGAGTCAGGGATCCCTGTGGGTCAAGGCCATTTCACCATAGGAAAGCATTAATCAATGCTTTCATATGGGGATTCCAGCGACGCGGGAGGTCCTCATGCAGAGCGTGAGTACAACCAGCATCGTTTAGACGACAAAAAGTCATCTAAGAACCCGGACAGCCACAAGTGGAGGACTTAACCCTGCAAGGTAATTTATTGCAGTTTATACTTGCAGGGTTAAGGGTGTTGGGAGTTGACACCCGGACCACTTCAATGGGTAGTTCGATCTACCAGAGAAGGACATAGGAAATTCTAAAGCAAATACACTGTATTGTTCGATTTGGCTGTAAATAAACGATTGGTTTTTCATTGAGGCTATGCAAGTCAGGCAGTAGAGGTATGGCCGGGCTGCAGAAACCAAAACGAACGCAATTTAATCGCACAATGGAGGAGTATTGAGCAGTGAAACTATAGGGTCATGCTCTATACACCAAAACTGCTTCATAAAGCTAAAGTTGGTCCCTTTAATTACACTGCATTATGATGACCTTATTTATAAATGCAAATAGAAATATTTGTCCTGTATGTAATGAAAAGGATGTCTGAAACATGAGACATATTTAGGGAACACTTTTTATGTAAAACTAGATTTTATAATCATGCTAAAAGCATCTTTTTTCTGGTTTATAGCGTCCGTACATGAGGGATGTTCTTCGTTCAGGTGGACGAGTAGCCTCAATAATTAAATATGTAAATAAAAGAAAGACCTACTCCTTCATACCATAAGTAACCAAAATCACAGACGGCATCAGTAATAGCAAGAAAAAAAAAAAAGAACCAGGAATCAGTTACTGCAAAAATACTTTATAATACAGGGGAATGGGGGAAGGGCCTATACTAAGGAAAAAAGATTTACTGTTATTTAAGTTAAACTTTTGTTTTTCCTAGCGTATAACATCAGTACAGTAGGGATATAGCAAGTTCCCAAACCGAGTGGGAAGGTAGGATACAGCAGCTAATGCACAAAAGCAGCTTCTAAATAAGAATGTCTAGCCTGTAATGATGGATCAAGGTATCGATTGACCAACTCGCTGCAATTACACAGCAGAGAGTACTCACAGAGTGCTCTGTACCATGCTAGGAAATCCCTCTGAGTTAGGGTTAGCGTTGGTGCAGGGCTTGACATATCCCAGACGCAATGACGATAAGAAATTTTCACCTGGCTGTCTTTGAGCTTGTTAAGCTGAGGTTGGCGATGACCCTGCTCTATTTCCTCTGCTCCCTTGTGGGAGAAGAGCTTGGAGATGATAGGATCACAGCAGCCACTCCAGCTTTCCCAAAAGGTAGGAAGGCTGGGTGGACGTAAATTAAAATATAGAATAAATAACAATATTTGTTCTTTAGGTGACAGGCGCCCCCCTGCGATAGCACAGAAAGGGTGTTTTTATTATTTATTTTTTTTTTCTCGCAGTGGCTGGCCTTGTCTTCATGGCTGAGATAATCAAGCTTAATTTCTCATATAAAACCATATGGAGGCTATTGTGCATGCACGGGAAAATGCCGCACTGTGCCAATCAGCATTCACTCTTGGAGATAATTGGATCCATGGAGAAACATTCAGTGCAGAGTGTGGGTTCGCTGAATGTAGCACTGCATCGTTGCAATGCAGCATTGGACTAGGAAGTACCTCTAGTGGCTGTCTGACTAAGCAAGTGTCACATGAGTTGTTACTAGGCAGCAATGTAAGCATTGTCTTTTCTCTGAAAGGCAGTGTATATTTTGAAATATCTACAGGGTTAGGCTAAATACACCATAACTTAAGCTGCAATGGTTCTGATGACCAAAATGGCTCCTAACTTTTTTAGCTGGCTCCTAGATTTAAAGCAAATTTGCCAAGCCCTGTGTTAGTGCAAGGTTAATGTAGCAAGAGAGGGAGAATTCTATCTCCCTCTTATGCTACAGCTCCTGTGTGCTGTCCCTGCCAATCTTTGTCAGCAGACAGTATGATGGAGACCCTACTGGGGTCTTTTCATGCTGAAAACTGTTGCAGTGATTTAAAGGGCTGTTTGCAGTGCTCACTTTGAGCGCTGCATAATGCTCCTCTATCAGGGGCCACTAAATATGGCCCACCTGACACAAAGATTTAACCCTGGTCGCACCAAGCAAGGGCCTTTCATGCCATCCTAACTGCATTAAAGCCCACTATTTTTTTTCAAGATTGCATGGAACATCTTAATTTGGCTAAAAGAGACACTTGGAGGCCCAAATTAAAAAAATAAAAATGACTATTTAGTAGATATATTTGTACAGCGCTACAGAATTTGATGGCGCTCTATAAATAATAATATCCCCAATGAAAACCTGCATGCATCTCATTATGCATTTTTTTTTTTCTCATTGGAGGTATATCTAAAAACAACATGCCAAAGCAGCTCTTGTCTGAAGCCTTTGCAAGGCATTCGCTTCTAACCCTCTAACCCAATTCCACACTCTAATTGCCTAAGATCCATATGGCACACATTTTCCAATAGAGGGAATACCTCAAAGTTGCAACCAGGTAGGGTGGGTGAGTACCCTGCAAGTGTGTATAAGGAGATGCAGCTGGCTCTCAAATCATTATCTGCGAGCAGACTTTATTTGGAAACCAGATGAAACAATATTTTGGCTCTGCTATTGAGCCCTTATCAAACTTGATAGTGATTCAGTTTTGATAAAGGCATTTTTAAAATCTGGTTTCCAGGTAAAATCTTCATAAAGATACCCCTTTGAGGGCCCAGGTTTTTGTCCTTATACTCACTTCCACTGCTTGTGACTTGCATAGCCTCCCTATAGGTTCCTGTATAGAGAAATCTAATTTTAAACTTCCTACATTGTACAGTGTGTTTAATTTAGAATGTCTTATCTCCTGTTCTGTTAATAGCCTGGTAGAACCTGCAACAGTTTGTGTGTATGTGAAGTTCAATTAACAGAGTAGGAGAAACAAAATCATTTATTTTTTTTTCCCCATATGAAACATTGTATTCAATGCTTTTCTATGGACTTCTGCATCAAGTGACCCAGTGGATTTAACCCTGCAATGTAAACATTGTAGTTTCTTAAAAAAAAAAAAAAAAGTTAAAGTTTTGTTGCTTTTTATTGACTTGGTGGTTACCAGTTCGTAAGCAGGAGGGATATATTTTATGTTCACATGATGTATATATTTTTTATTGTTGATAAAGTTAACTAAAGTCAGCTGTCTTTACAGATTTACAATGAAAAGGAACTGCTCCAAGGAAAGTTGGACCTGCTTAGTGACACCAACATGGTGGACTTTGCAATGGACGTTTACAAGAATCTTTATTCTGACAAGGAAATCCCACAGTGTAAGTTTATATTCCATTCCCCTCCTTGTAGCGACACTTGCAAAACAGAATATTCTCATAGTGAAGCATGAGAGGTCCTTGTCAGTAAAAAATGCCTTTTTCGTTCTTCTTGTCTTTGTGATATGATACAAAGTATAGTTGTGTATTACGGGGAGTCAGAATCTGGCTGTCTCCTTGTCCCAACACCTGCTGTAAGATTGACAGAGAACTGTATTAAACTGGCAACAATGGTTGCCTGAAAGTGTAAATTCCGCTAAGCTGCTCTTAGATTAAAGGATCACTATAGGGTCAGGAACACAAACATGTATTCCTGACCCTATAGTGTTAAAACCACCATCTAGCCCTCCTGGGCCCCTCATAGTTACATAGCTGAAAAGAGACTTGCGTCCATCAAGCCTCCATAAATATAGCAAAATCTTACTGTATTCAAGCCAGAAGCTGTAGATCTGCATGCTGTTTGCCTAAAAAAACACAAGCAGTCTGCTGACATCATCAGAAGTGGTAGCCTGATCCAATCACAATGCTTCCCCATAGGATTGGCTGAGACTGACAAAGAGCAGATCAGGAGCAGAGCCAGTATGATTCAAACACAGCCCTGGCCAATCAGCATCTCCTCATAGATATGAATTGAATCAATGAATCTCTTAGAGGAAAGTTCAGTGTCTGCATGTAGAGGGAGGAGATACTGAATGTTTGGATGCATTTTAGGCAGCCATGACCCAGGAAGGATCTCTAACAGCCATCTAAGGAGTGGCCAGTGAAGTTATCACTAGGCTGTAATGTAAACACTGCATTTTCTCTGAAAAGACAGTGTTTACAGCAAAAAGCCTGAAGGTAATGATTCTACTCACCAGAACAAATTTAATAAGCTGTAGTTGTTCTGGTGACTATAGTGTCCCTTTAAGAACCTCCACAATCCAGTGTTTATCGAATCATATATTACGAAGATTAATGCAATGATCATGAATCCACAATGTAGGACTGGGATTGGAAACTTGAAACAATGGGCAAATAATTCAATGAATATAATATGATACAAGCAATTTCTGTATTCATTTTAACATTCCTGTCCTTTTTGCTGATCACTTCTAGCTCTGAGAGAGAAAAGAACTACAGTTGTTGCACAATTAAAACAACTGCAAGCTGAAACTGAGCCAATTGTGAAGATGTTTGAAGATCCTGAAACTACACGACAAATGCAATCCACCAGGTAAGACGTTTCTAATAAGGCACAAGTGTGTTCTTTCTGTTTTTACAATTCAGACTTTATTGTGGAGAAGCCATGCTAAATAAATGTACAAGAAAAGAAACTTCTAACAAATGAACAAGGAGACTAAAGTCTTGGAAACAAATACACTACAGATTAAAGAGGTACAAGTGCATGAACTACATTCAGGGCAAGCTCCAGGCACACAAAACCGTAGAATACTCTGCTCTCCCCTCTATTGTAGAAAGCAAGACCGAAGGTTAACGGAAGGGTTGCTCCAGCCTCCATGATCACTTCTGCTTTTAGACTTGGTCAGGGTGGTAGGGGTCTGAAAGTGCAGAATTTCACGGAAGTCCTTCCTGTACCCTTTTTTATTTTTTTTATTTTGACGCCACCCTTTCCAGCTCAGAGCACAGGTACTCTGAGCAAGTTAAACTTGTCTGGTAGACAGGCACTAGAGCCTGCCATAGCACTGCAATGTAAACCTTGCAATTTCTCAAAAATTGTGACAGAGGCAGTGCACCCTGACTACATCAATGAGCTGTAGTGGTCTGAGTGCCTATGATGTCCCTTTTTAAGGCAAGATTTGTGAATTCCCAATTCTGTAATCTTCTGATGAGATGGTGGGTGTGTTATCCTTCAAGGAATACTATTAACTTTAAAAATGATCATATCATGTTTAAATATTTGTGTACCTTTAAAATACGGTAGTTGAATTGATTTATAGAAATATGAATAATTGGGAAGTCTAGGAGTGTATATTTACTTATATTGCTTCAGAAAGTATGCATTTTATAGCAAGCTGGGAGCTGCCATGATTATATTCCCATCTGTTTGCTTTTTGGTCACTGACTATAATTTGAATACCAGATGCATTGTGTGGTTTACAAAGATTGTCAACATTCTAGTCTCTTGGAGACATATTTTTTTTTTTTTTTTTTTTTTAAACCACATTAAAGTTTGTATTTTTGCATTTAATACTTGAGAATGCACTTTATATGTTATATGGGCAAACTATTGTGGACACTTGTCTGTAAAAAATCATGGATATTAATATTGATTTTTTTTTATTATTTTTCTCCAAATCATTTCTGGGAATGTTTTTCCATGATTTGAATTTTTATTTTATTTTTTTTAAATAAATGTTTTGCTTTTATTCATTCAGTTCATGAGGTTAAGCAGTATTGTTTTGGATAAATAGGCCTGGCTTGCATTCAGTGTTTTAACCCCTTAAGGACACGGCTTCAGAAGCTTGTCTTACACTTAATGACGCAAGCAATTTTTGAATTTTTTTTGCAATGTATGACCTATACACTATTTTGTGAAGTGGCACTGCTGTAAAAGAGACGTGACAAGTTAAGGTTTTTAAGTGTGAATTTTCATGGAGGGTTTTGATGCGTCTGTGTCCCACTTTGGAGCACTTGAGCAGTCTACATATTACAACTACACCATAAAGGCATACCACTTCTTAAAGAACACATCCCAGGGTATTTCAAAAGGCATATTTTGAATTTTAGCGTGGCATAATTTTTCCGCTAGCTTGTACCAAGTGTAGTGGTAATAAGCATTTTTTCTGCCTTTTTGACACACAAAGTGAGTTTGCGCAGCATATTTTGTAAACCTTATGTGTGCTACGACTGTATAATACTTCCTATGTTGCTCAGCTATGTCGGCTGAGTACAGAAATACCCCCGTATGTACCTTTGCCTGGTATATGTGGACATCGGAGGGGCATATTTGGGACACAGCCATTCCAGTTCTTTTCAAACTTTGGATTATATAGCCTTGTAAAATACTTTAAAATGGGATATGGACACAGTGTAAAAATTTAATTACCCCATAAAGGCATACCATTTCTTAAAGAAGACATCCCAGGGCAATTCAAAAGGCATATTTTGAACCTTAGCGTGGGATAATTTTTCCGCTAGCTTGTACCACGTGTAGTGGTAATAAGCATTTTTTTTCTGCCTTTTTGACACAAAAAGTGAGTTTGCGCAGTTTATCTTGAAAACCTTATGTGTACTACGACTGTATACTACTTCATATGTTGCTCAGCTATGTTGGCTGAGTACAGCAATATCCCCCGTATGTACCTTTGCCAGGTGTATGTGGACATTGAAGGGGCACATTTGAGACAGCCATTCCAGTTTTTTTTTTTTTTTCAAACTTTGAATTTTTACACTGTGTCCATGTCCCATTTTAGAGTATTTTACAAGGCTATATAATCCAATTACCCCATAAAGGCATACCATTTCTTAAGGAAGACATCCCAGGGTAATTCAAAAGGCATATTTTGAACCTTAGCGTGGGATCATTTTTCCGCTAGCTTGTACCAAGTGTAGTGGTAATGAGCATTTTTTTTAATGTATTTTTTACTTTGTAAAACCCGTTTTTAAACTTTTTTTTTAATTATTAAATGTTTTACACTTTCTTAACTTTTTTTACACTTTTAAATTTTTTTCTAAACTTTTCTTTTACCGTTAATCCCTAACTAGCAGTAAGCAGCACTAACCGTAAATTCCACCCTTTCCCATAACTCCAACCCACTCCAGCTAGTAAAATAAATATATATATATATATATATATATATATATATATATATATATATATATATATATATATATATATATATATATATATATATATATATATATAATATATTATTTAAATTAAATAATTTGAACCCCTGAGGGTTAAAAAAATAAATAAAAGTTAATCCTCAGGGGTTAAAAGAAATTAGATTACAGTATAATACTGTGATCTGTACTTTGATCACTGTAGGCAGTGATCAATTGGCAGGGAAGGAGTTAATTTTTTAGACTGGGTAGTTGGTAGGGAAGGGGTTAATTTTATTAAAGCAGCGGAAAGGGGGGGCGGGATTTAACTTTATTTATTTTTTTTAAACAGGGAGATCAGCAGCACTGATCCGTCTCCCTGCACTTCACACAGAACCCGGAAGTGCAGGGAGGCGGAAGGTAAGTACACTGAACACATGTGCTCTCTCTGACAGTCTGTCAGAGCGAGCACCGGTGCTGTGGCAGCCCGATCGGGTGCTCCCGATCTGCCTCTAATACAGAGGCAGACCGGAGCACCGTTAACCCGGCGATCTGGGGTTAACTTTAGTAAATGGCGGAAATTTTCCGTCAATGGTCCTTAACTGAAGGACAAGGTTGACGGAAAATATCCGTCTTCGGTCGGGAAGGGGTTAATGTATCATACTGTTATTATTTATATAGCACCAACTTATTCTGCAGCGCTTTACAGTTAAAAAGGGTCAGAGTTCTTTCCAGACCAGCCTAGTTCTTCCTTGCCTTTCTTTACAAACCATTCTTATTTGGACTTCACTTTGTTCATTCCATGCTAACAAAGCAAAAGATGTTCCCAAAATGTTAGCCTCAAAGTTGGTGGTAAAGAGTCCTCTATAATGTCATTGTATGCTCTAATTTTTCATTACCTCTTCATTAGAATTATAATGGGGCTAGCCCAAACTATGTAAAATAAACCTCGTAGCATTATTCCTCCTCCTTACTTTTATATGGGACTTGTTATTCAGGCAACTTGTTTTAGGCAACTCCCAAATCCCAAATTGTTCAAGGTGCCGTATAAATGATAGTGTTAAGAGTCCTTGTACGCTACACTAACCTAGCCAATGTTTGACTTTACCAATGGGGAGCTATTGTGCTGCTTAGCCATTTCCTAATCTTTAGACAGCTTTGTTCACTAAACACTGACTTGTAGCAAATGAAAATCTAGCACAAGGTAAAATAGCCACACTGTGACTGTGTTGGAGAACATTTCCCATATCTCTTGGTGGCATCCTGTGACTGCCGTTATGTTACTAAGTCACTAAGCTCTGCTGTAACACCAAACTTTGATTACAGAAATTACATGGCTGTGCTTGATATTCGTACCCCTGTCTGCAGTAAATATGGTAGAAATTTTTAAATCCACTATTAAAAGTGGCATCTGTGCACTTTTTGTGAAGCTGTTCTGATATTTTAAAATTGGCAATATAATTTGTAAGGGCTTCATGCCAGGCTGTGGGGTAACATGCTTTATTTCATATTTTGAATTCTAATGTCCGTGACTGTGTGTCCTTTTCAAAGTAGAATCCTGGATCCTTGTAGTTTTGTTGTTGTAGTAAGACCAGCAGAATGCTAGCTGGGGATCATCACAGACCGTATTATAGTTAAACACCTGGAGATCTATAGGCTGCCTGCTCTCACATTGCACCAATTTTCATTTGTGGTTTCTCAGAAAATGTAAACTTTACAATCAAGGCTGTTCCACCTGTAGCCCCAACACTTTAAACCACTGTATATTGTGGTTAGAGTCTTAAAATAGTTAAGTCCTAATGGTTTGTTTTTAATGAGGATGGGGAAATTGTTTCTTCTGTGTAATTATCGCCAAATGTTTTGTCATATTCCTTTCTAGTAACTCTTTTAAAAGCATTCTCAGAGATTTGTCTGCTTTTCATGGCTCAGAGCCTCCAGCACTGGAGGGTTTTAGTAATATCTGGTGCGTGGGACATTGTACAGCTGCTAGTCATTGCTGAAGAACACCTCAAATGTTTATTTTCCTCAGTACATTTATCTACCTCCTTCAGCAGCTTCAACTGACGCTCGTGTGTAAGGAATACATTATCTGTAAATGTGAGACACTTTGCAGAAAATTGCCAATGATCTGGTCTTGCTGTTGGCGGTTATGCAAATGTGATCCTTTTTTTTTTTTTTTTTTAAGTGTGGATAAAAATACGTGGTCATGAAATGTTTTTGGAAAATCTATTTAATATGGTAAGGCATTTTGTCTCTCTGAAATATATTATTCAGACACAGAATGAGCTGATCAGATTGTACTGCATTACATTATGACAGAGTGCTGACTAAAAGAATTTATTTTTAATGGCCTTAAGTAGCTGAAATGGGCAGCACTTTTATATAATGCAAGTCATCTTCTGAATTTTCGGCACCTGAAGCTTCTTATAAGCTGAAAAAAACGTGCTTGGTTGCACCTCATTTTGGTAAAGAGATTGCGGGCTTTTAGTGTACACTAAAGTTAATTAAATATGGGAAGAAGTCCCAAATGTACAAATCAGGAGGGATTCATGATTTGGCCTTGAACTTGGGTTTCCAAAAAGAAAGTGAACTGTACGTGCTCGTGCCAGGACTTTATGGGAAATTGCTTGCTACACTGATCATAATTCGTTGTGCTAGAGATGATCAAACTCCTTTTAGAAGCTTTACATATGGGCCAGATATAAAAGGGTCCTCGAAGCAATAAAACCCCTCCAGCTCAATGAGCTCTGTGTTGTCTGGTAGCTGTGCCCTGTTTGTCAAACTCAACAAAAAACAGGATGCTTTCTGACATCAGGAGGCTGCCTCATTGGTAATGCTGAATTCCACATGACCAATATCCACTTCATCCAATCTGTCAGATCACCTCAATCTGTGGTGCTTCTTGTGACCATTGGAAGGAACTGTTGACTTCTGTGTAGGTATGCCGTGGTCATTAATATGTTGCTGAAGAACGCCTGAAACTTTTCTTTTCCTCAGTTTCTGGAAGCTTGTATATATACTGAGATAATACTGTTAATGTAATGCCCTCTAGGAAATACCATAGATACTAGTAAAGATGTTCACAAACCGTTAGATGCATGCGGCAGCTTATTTTTAGTCTGCCTATAGAATAGTCTGAAATTATTTATCTATTAATTAAAGTTCTCTCACGGTTAACGCTACTAAAGAACTATAGGAGAATGTTTGTTTATTTTTCCCTCTATGCACCATTTATAAATATGAGGACACCTTGAACGGGATTATAAATTTATATTAATTTTTTTTAATGCAAAGTGGGCACTGTTAAATTGAGTGGTAATAACATGAAAACCCTGGGATGTATTAAAATCAACAAAAGCTAGTTATTAATATTCCTGGTTGTATGCCACGGAAAATAACTTGATGTGTTTTGTGTTTTTAAAATAGTTTCTAATATAATTTTTCTGTTTTATAGAGATGGACGGATGTTGTTTGAACACCTTGCTGAAAAACATGGGGTATGGCATTTGTGTAACTTATTTTGTGTGTGTGTGTTAAACTGTACTGATGGACACATAGACCTTTAATGTAGTAATGGAAGTATAATTCCATCTATCACTTGAGATACTGAATTACTTTATTTAATATCTTACAGTTCAGACAGGAGTACCTAGATACACTCTACAGATATGCCAAGTTCCAGTACGAATGTGGGAACTACTCTGGAGCAGCCGAGTACTTATATTTCTTCAGAGTTCTGGTAAGTGTCTGTCTATTTGTTATTTTATGTGTTATTGTGCATGTTTGTGTTCATATTGAAATTTTTGAATATAAAACATTTATTCTTTTGATCTTGACTTCTATTGAGTCCATGTAAATAATCATCTCCGAACATGGCAAATGTATATACTTCTTCAGAAACGCAAACCTGAAATGTTGGGGTAATTGGACAGTATTCTGCTGCAGTTTTGAAACCCTAATTTATATTATGTAGAATATTCATCTCAAAACTAGAAACATGAGATTTAATTGAATTGGTTTAACCATAACCACAGAGCAGGGGTAGGCAACCTTTTAGTAATACTGTGCCAAAACAAGATCTTTAAGTCCCTTGCTGTGCCGGTCCTAATTTTTAAAGTTGAGATGTGTTACTGTATTCTGCTTGTGTTATTTATTGGTGCTGCATTTTTTTTGTACTATTGCATGTTAGAATATGGGAAGCCAATGCTTCTTAACAGTCCTGATTTCAGGGGCCTGTCCTGCTGTCCCATTATAGTTCCCAGGTGTCCCACATCTGGGGATTCCTAGGAACTGTCCCCAGGCAGCACAGCATGGGTGCCACACTAGTCACGCTCTAGCTGTGCAGGCCATGCAAAGAGTGCTTCATCGGCGCTCCCTATGACACATCATTTTAGGCATTGCTGATGATGCAAGTCACAATCGCCGGCACTCTCCGGCATGTGATCTGACTAAAAAAATGCCCTCTTCTTCTGACTGATATTTTTTGCTAAGCTATATGGCTGTAAGTTCGTATTAACTTGTGTTTGTATTTTTATCTATATTTGTGTGCATACATGTCTCGGTAAATGTAAAATCTAAAAATTGTATATTCTTAATGGGTAACTTTTATTCTATGAACATGATGCTACACTTTAAGCAATTTTCAGAAGTAGAAGGTGATCATAAAAAGTGGATAGCGGGTTTTACAAGGCCCCTTTCGTACAATCTGACAATGTTTGGTTCCTTGAAAAAAAAAAAAAAAAAAAAAAATTTTTTACAGAGGAAATGTACACCCTCTCCTCCCCATTTAACTGCTTACTCTAATGGGTGAGAAGTATGTGTTTTCCATGTCTGGGATCTATTTTAAGTATTTCCATTTTCCTGTCTCGGGCACACTATTACAGAACCGGTCTAACTTGGCAAGCAGGTGGGCAGCATCAATGTTTGTAATCTAAATCTCACTCTCAAAAAAAAAATCAAGTGGCGAAAACCAGATTGGCAAATTGTAGGTAATCAGCAGTAATGTTGTATGGCGAGGCTGGCCCTCGTCTTATCTGTGACTTCCATCAGACTTTTCTCCAATATTACCAAGGATTTAAAGAGAGTAAGAGTCATTTACTTGGGAAATGTAAACAGCTTAAATGAGGTTAATAAAACCAGGGCTGTGGTTTCATTACAAGTCCGGAAAAGAGCCTTGGTTTATTCATATCATTTGTTAATGCTGGGAGTGAATTTTGAGAATGAAGATTTAATGTCTTGTTCAGACCTCAGCACAGTAAATTTATTGTTGCTGGCCAGTGAGTGAATGTGCCATTTTGCTAGCAAATGGAAACTTAAGGTAACCCCCTGGAAAATCCAGATATTGAAACTATTCTACCATATCCTTCTGAAAGGTTAGTATGCAGAGCCAACTGTAATGACATGGAGCGGGGCCAGCTTAGTTCACATGAACCTCTGCTTAAAAAAGGAAACCAGCATACTTGATAATGTGAAATGAGAAGTCTCAAATTGGCAATTAGTGCACATGTAATTTTCCAAACCGTATTATCTTATAGAATTTAGTTTTCCCACGTTATGTGAATCGCAAAGTACAGGTCCTGTTTATTTCTTACAATAGATCCATTTATGAATTGGAGTCTAATAAATTACTCTTAAAGGAAAACTCCAGTGCCAGGAAAACAATCAGTTTTCCTGGCACTGCAGGTATCCTCTCCCTCCCACCTCCCATCCTAGGTAGCCGAAGGGGTGAAAACACCTTCAGGTCACTTACCTGAGACCCCGCCTGTGTCCATCGGCGGTGGTTTCGGGTCGGCGTCGCTCCTCCCAGTAATCACGTCAGCCGGTGGGCGAGACTGATCCCGCCCGCCGGCTTAGGAAACCTAATGCGCGGCAATGCCATGCACGCGCATTAGGTATCCCCATAGGAAAGCATTGAAAGATTTTCAATGCTTTCCTATGGGGAATTGAGCGACACTGGAGGTCCTCACACAGCGTGAGGACGTCCAGCGACGCTCTAGCAAAGAAAATCTTTGCTATGAATCAGGAAGTGCCCTCTAGTGGCTGTCTAGTAAACCCTGCAAGGTAATTATTGCAGTTTATAAAAAAATTATTAAAAAAAAACAGGGTTCAGAGTAGTGGGAGTTGGCACCCAGACCACTCCAATGGGCAGAAGGGGTCTGGGTGCCTGGAGTGTCCCTTTAAGTAGACTTTAGAACAAGTTGCGTGTTTTTTTTTTTTTTTTTGGTTCGATTCTGAAAACCAGCATTTTGACAGCCTTTTCAGCTAGTCTTATCCAATGTCTACATTGACACTTCAACTAATTCTCGATGAAATCTTTGGGGTTTATACATCATCCAGTTGCAACCCTAGCTTGATTATAATTTTTCTAAAGGGGTCATTGTTGCCTGAATTTTGCAGTTTGGCTTTTCTTTTTACTGCAAATCAATGTTTACTGAATAAGACCCTCCCGAAGTTTTAATTCTTTGTAATTTAGTGATTCGGATGCATTGCAGCATTCAGCATGCAGTTTATATATTTAACCCCTTAAGGACACATGACATGTGACATGTCATGATTCCCTTTTATTCCAGAAGTTTGGTCCTTAAGGGGTTAAAGCGGCTCTGCCACCTTCCTCTCTCCCCTACCCCCCCCCCACCCCCCCTCCTCTCCATGAGTATTTCACAAAGCTATAATATTTATGAAATAATAACATAGGCTGTTTCACTGAAACTCCAACGCACTCAAGATATACTAACACAAAGTTGGGACTGCTTTGTCTTAGTATATTCCCTATACTTGGCAAAACTTGACAAAAGGCGGAGCTGTAGAGTGAAAGGCTCTAGGTTTGATTTAGCACCACTGACCTGAAGATAATAAAAATGGGAATAATGTTGTGAAACCGGAAAAGTTCTGTTTTGGAGAATGAGAGTTATGAGAAGCAGGTGAACAATCTCAAGAGTTATTCCCTAGTGTGAACTTTACAGAATTCAAAGTAATGTAAAATATTAGGCCAAAATAGCAAATTTGGAAGAATTTTCCAAGTCAGTTCTGTTGTTTAGGCTATTTTGGCCCAATATTTAAAATTTTATTGTATTCCTGACAATTCACACTTTAGTTATAGATACCAAGATGCACTTTCTGACATCATCTAAACGAGTGATCAAGAGGGATATGTGTTATTGAGCCATTAGTGGATTTCGTGCAGCTACTGTTTAGTACTGAGAGTGAAAATCAGATGGAAAATGGTTGAGTGGACTTGAGAACATTTGCCAACTATAGAGCTTGGATCTGATCGAGTTAGGATATAAGATAGTAACTAGAAGTTGGATCATTAGAGGATTTAAAAAAAACAAACTCGGGCTCTGTAAGCGCTTGGTGCTATTCTGTGACCATTTAGAATTTTTTTGGCTTTGGAAATTCAGTAAAAGGTTTAGAAGTTGTGTTTTTTTTTATTTACCAGTATTTATTTTTCCTGATGTTTGCAGAAATTTTGGAGCCCTGGGATTGTTGTTGTTTGTGCACAGACACATTTAAAGAAAGATTGGCATGAGCAAGACTTGATTTCTACTTCACCTTGACTTGCTTTGCCACCTAACAGCCCTCAGATGGTTAAAGTGGTGGCTGTAGACACAGAAGCTATGAAAGAGCCATTGTAACTGCTCTCTGAGATTAGAATTTGACACTCTCAATGACCTAGTGTAGCTCAGTGTTGTATAAATTACAGCTTCATGACCCCAGCATTACCCTTGCTTTCAGAATACTTGAACTGAACTAGATAAAATAACTAGACCTGTTTTCAAGATTGAGCTGGCTGGGTGGGTTTTTTTTGTTTTTTTTTTTTAATTGGGGGTAGGGTAGGAGGTAGGCTTAGAGTTAGCCTGATTAAAAGATGTAGAAAAATGAGGTTTGTAAGCGGGGTCTGCTTTGAATAGACTTTCAGCCTTCTTATTTATGAAACTTTTTTTTTTTTTTGTAATAGCTCTGTAGCTCTGTGAAGTTTTTGGGATCTCTGTCAACCAAGGCCAGTGTTGTCCTCATACACCACTCTGATTCCATGGAATGTTATTTTGCCCTCATTAGCAATCGCCTGCAGATTGCCACCTAAATAACCGGCTATTTAGGCTAATTTAGTTTATTTTTATACTCTGCTACTATGTAAACAAAACTTGTTTAATCCAGGCGTATAATAACTTTAACTAAATGTAATCACTCTCTTATTTTCAACCTATAAAAACATATACTCTTACAGCTAAATGCAAGAGAAGGCCTTCATTGTTTAAGTGTTTTGTATGTTGGCCTGTACTTTGCATGCATTAAATACTTTATCCCCTCTTCCATGTGCATGTTTTACCTATTTTAATGTATAAGGGCTTTAAGGATCTACTACTTGCCTACAAAACTAATCTACTAAAATACTATTTATTTATTTTTCTACCTTAATTGTCTATTAAAGACAGATATAAAGTCCATTATATGGAAAGCACAGGCTGTGAATTTAGAGAAAAGCTAGAATGGTGCTAATTTCACATCAGGTTGTAGTTAACAGCAGTCTACACATGCACAAACTTTAAAATTAGCTCAATGAAGTGGTCTGGGTGCAGTGACCCTTTCAGTTTTACCCTGCAATCTAAAACATTTGTTGAGCAGATACAGCAATGTTATTTATAGCAGGGTTTACACACCACTAGATGCACTAACAGAGTCAGACTCTCTGGGCTGAAGTCCTCAATCTTTGATACCAGCCAAGGATGTAGGACGACCGTGGCAAGACCAGCATTTAGCTGACAGTCCTCATTAGGAAGTTGTGCACATAATCTCTATCTTGTTTAAGTATGAGCAAATCTACATGTTAAAGGGACACTCCAGGCACCCAGAAGCTATGCATGAGGACTTCCAGCATAGCCGGAATCCCCATTGCCAACGACAAATAACCATGGGGCAGAAGGAGACTATAGGATTAAGAATACAGTTTTATATCCCTAATTCTAGTGCTTTTTTTTTTAACCTCTTTAGCATTACACTCTGGGCACTAAAGACCCTTGCTAGTATGGCATTGCTCAAAAAATCCCAGGCGCCAGGTTGCCATTGCGACTAGGATTTTAGACCTGGCGTCTGGGATTTGTTAGCCCACTCAGCCCCTGAGGTGGTCAGCTCATAAACAGCATCGGCATGCGGTTGGTCGGCTGGTCGCCCAGCTAAAGGGAGAACATTTGCGTTTGGTCGGCCGGCTGATCAAGAGCGTGGGGTGTGCGCACGGGTGGGAGGCTCCTGGAAGATTGAGGCAGACGGGCACGCGCGTGAGGGAGTTGTAACCTCTCTGCTCCCTTGCGCGTCCTCCAGTGATGCTGGGAGCCGGAATATGACAGTGCTCTATGGAGCAGTGCAGGGAGATGACTGAAGCCTCACTGGACCCCAGGGAAAGCCAAACCACTCCAGCTCCAGATAGGGAGGCTGGCTGGCTGGTCACCTTAATGTGTGTTGTTATTGCAGTGAGTGAGTGGGAGTATATGTGTCAGTGAGCATGTGTGTATGTTTAGGTGACCGGTCCCCCTCCGATCACATGGGTAAGAGTTTTAACTCCCCTTCCCCCCCTCCCCACGCTGTGCTGGTCTCTCATCAGCTGGCCATGCCTTCATGACTGTGATCATCAGTTTTGATATTAGCCAATCCCATAGGAAAGCATTGGGAGGATATTGCGTATGTGTGGCAAAACGCCATGCTGCGCCAATCAGCATTTCCTCATAAAGATGAATTGAATGCATCTCTATGGGAAACATTCAGCTCCTCAATGCAGCACTAACCCAGGATGCACTCTAGAGGCCGTCTGAGTGTGTGTTACAAGGCAGCAATGTAAATACTGCCTTTTCTCTGAAAATGCAGGGTTTACATTTAAGTGTGGAGGGACAGGTTATAGACTCGAGAACAACTACATTAAGCTGTAGTTCTTCTGGTGACTATAGTGTCCCTTTAAGAGTTGTATTTTTGACATTGAAAAACCTGGCTCCTAACTTTTTTGCTGACTCCTAGATTCTAAGCAGATTTGTCAAGCCCTGTAGTATGGAATGTCTGGCTACAGTACTGCATTCATAAATGAGTGTGATGTTGCAATTTGATATAGAATCTTTTAATGCTGGTTTGCTATGAAATATATATATATATATATATATATAACATCATTGGTCTTTAATTTCATGTTATGGTTTTGGCAATTGAAAGGTTAAAACCTAAAAACTTTTTTTTATTTTAAACTTCACCATTTGAGACGGTTTTGAGTTCAGTTTTTAATTTAATTTTCAATTCCTGTTAATGTACAAATTAGGGCCATGACCAGTAGTCTCCTGTAGCCTTTTGTTTGCCTGACGTGGAGAGCTGTGCAATATGTTTAGTGTCTGGCTGAAAAAATATATAATAAAAAAAAGGGTTTTGATATTTCCTGCTATGTAGTCTAGTAAGCTTTATTCCTACTGAGATTTGGGTGGGATTCTATAAAACTAATCAAATTATATGGGGTTAGTTTTATTCCACATAGAATAAAATCATTCATTTTGCAGCAATGTTTGCTTTGTAACTAATGCTAGACTGGCTCTTATTTGTATAGAATGTGTAGGTTCTGGGTTATGTACATGTTCTTTTAAGTAGTAACATTGGACATTTTATCCATAACTGTGACTGCTTGTGATCCACCCTTATGTTAAACTCTTCCCAGTGTGTTGTTATTCTATAGTTATATCAACAATGGCCTGCCGTGGCACCCCAAATGTCTGCAGACCACATTTCCCATAAACCTTACAGCTTCATGGATGGGAAATGTAAACCATAAAAAAATCTGGGTGTCAATTTTCAATATCATTTATTTTAGTTTAAAATTAAACATTTTGTGTGAATCATATATATTTATTTTTATGTTCTTGATTTTCTTTTGACAGGTTCCATCTACAGACCGAAATGCTTTGAGCTCTCTCTGGGGAAAGCTTGCTTCAGAAATTTTGATGCAGAATTGGGACGCGGCCATGGAAGATCTGACAAGACTCAAAGAAACCATAGATAACAATGTGAGTGGCCTTGCTCAAAAGAGCTTACAATCTAGCGGTAGATGGGATCCAGAAGGAAAACAAGGAATTGAGTTTGACTCTTGCGAGGGAGAATTTTTTTTGTGTGTGTGTGTATGTGTGTAATGTAATGTGTGTGTGTGTGTGTGTGTGTATGTATATGTATGTATGTGCAGCAGACTGAGGAAGCACTAGTCATGAGAGCAGGTACAATGGTAATTCTCCTGGAAGATAAATAGATGAGTTATGGGGAAGTGATAAGATGAGTTGGGACACTCCGTAGGAATGGTGCTGCACATTAGCAGTCTTGTGATTTGACCGTTCGCAAATAGAGGACCGAAGAAGGTCACTAGCTGAAAGACCAGGGATTGGGTGTACTCGTGCATTGGAAAGATAATGGGGGGTGGAGTTGTTGAGGGCTTTGTATATTAGTGTCATTCATTTTCACTAGATCTTTAAATGTATTAAAAACCAATGTAGGATACGAGTGAGATGAGAAGCCTTGTGTAAATAGGTCTGGCTGCAAAAGTAATTGCAGATTGTATCTTGTGTTTAAAAAAAAAAAAAAAATAGTGAATGCAAGGATTACTTTACTTTTTGAGATGAAATATAAGAGGATTTGGAGATAGACTTCATTAGGGGAGAAAAGATGAGACCAGAGTTTAACAAGGCCAAAAAAGTGAATTTGGTTTAATTGGGTAATGGGTGCTCAGTTGACTTGCTGGTAGTGTTACAATGAAATAGAACTCCACTAAGAAATGTAATGCAAAATTGTAAACCACTGGAACAGCCCGTCTTGTCTCTTTTTTATGAGTGGGTTTTACCATTTTATGGAACACTCTTTCAAATGACGTACTACATTTCCATCTGATCTAGTGTGTCATGCTGAGATCTTATATGTCAAAGACTATTCCCACAAGATTTTATGAACATTCCATGATCACTTTTATTTGCTTGTTTGGTGCCTAATTTGAACAGATCCTTGAAACCCACATAAATAGAACTAATGAAGTATGTGGTACCCAATACTTCCTATTCACACGTTAACAGTGGCTGCATCACATGATATGTCTAATTTGCAAATCGAAGATATTGACAACCAATGCTATTTTTTTTTAAATTTATTTTTTACCAGTCTGTCAGCTCCCCTCTCCAGTCTCTACAGCACAGGACGTGGCTCATACATTGGTCTCTTTTTGTGTTCTTCAATCACCCTAAAGGTCGGGACAACATAATTGATCTATTCCTTTACCAACCCCAGTAAGTATTGTGATGTGGTTTTTTTTCTTACTCTATCTGTGCAACATTGTGTGTATTCTTCTTATCTGGAATATGTCTTTATAATTGAATTTGTCTGTGACACTTGCTAAATTGTTTGCTGTCTTATGGTATACTGTTTGTATTAACATTGAAGGATTTGTTTGGATGCGGCACACTATTAAACGCCGTTCTAGGTGAATGACTGTAAACCAACTGGCAGAAACTTCTAAGTAAAGAGCATCTGCTCTTACACAACACAGCAGGCTTTTTTTTCTCTTTTCTGGTCATATAAATGCTAACAAATGTGTGTATCCTATTGCCTTAAGGCAATGGATAGGGCCTTAATTAACTGAGCCTGATTATAAAGAACGTCAGATGCGGATATGTTGGTAGTGTAGCTACTGGTCTACTTTCATTGCAGCTTCTCACAGCATGTCACGTGGCTAACTGCTGTCATTGTCATGTAGCCTGGCTAATGTGTAGCTCACATTCTGACTTGCCTTGAGAAGTACTTCATTCGTAGGTGAAGAGTTGTAGTTTAGATGCGTATTAACTTTAACAATAGAGAATAATATTAAGTGTAATTGTGTTATAACGTCCGAAAGATGTGATCTAAATCCGTTGTCTAGTGGCGGATGAACTGCCGCAAAAACTTTTAAAAATTTGTATAAATGATATATTGTGTGATATCAAGTGGGTTTCTATTCTAATTCTTAATAGGTTAATGTAACTTCAACTAAAAGCCTAAAGCAAATGACTGTGTCATATTCACATTGTAGACAATGTTGACTAAGCTGGAGTTCTCCACAACTCTCCATACAACTCATACCAGTCTCTGGCAGCTATATGCTAGTTAGATCGAGCTTGGCGGGTATCAATAAATCTGTCTGGAAACTTGCATCTTGCAAGCTTTTAGATTTACAATTCTTTTCTAGCCTTAGTGTACTTGGCAGCAATATTGTCTGGTCTAGGTAAGTTAATACTTTTCATCTATATTTTGTGCCGGGGAAATCGGACATAAATCGACAAATTAACGTTCTAAATACCTGATAGACAAAATTACTTTAACAATGTGGTCCTGTTGCTATATAAGATGCATTTCTTTTCCTTAAATATATAGCCCTGTCTGTAAATGCAAGTCAAAATAAAGATTTATTTTTAATTGGTGATTTCACTTATTTAGTTGGTTGGCTTTTGGCATTGAACAGGTTACTATGTTTTTTTTGGATATGCCTTACCTTATTAAGAATCTAGTGGTTCAGTGCTTGCTTCCTTTGCTCCAAAATTACAGCTGTACATCAAATTTTAAGCTTTATTGTAGAACTCGTAGTTTGTAAAACATCTGTTTGCCATCAGCATTCTGTCTGCTGCAGCGAGAAAAGAAAACATACACATGCAGATGTCCACAAGCTACTGAAACGCATCAGGGTCACATTTGGCTTTTATTTATAGGATAAATGTTGCGGATAAATGTTCATGTACGTGAAAATTGTCGTTTTAATTCCAGAATATTTTGGTTTACTTGGTACTCTTAAAATTTAGCTGGAAAGCAATGGGTAGACAGTACAGTTCAAAAACAAAACCTGATCTAACCCTTTAAATGTCATGGCGTTTGCTTTGCTGTGTATTGCACATTTGTGTCTCAGTAAAAAAACAAGCACAAGAAATACAATTGCGGATACCGAGTTAACCCTTGTGTCACCAAAACCAGCCAAGAGCAAACAAGGGTCCAGCTTACCTTGATTCTTTTCAGTAACCATCGCTACAATTTATTGGTCAACGGTTTAACCCACACCAGAGTGTTTATCAAGCTTGTAAAGGGCCCTGTGTAGGTTGAACCAATGCCCTTATTTTGTACCGATCACTGAAATGAAACTAGGTGTGCTGGACCATTTTTGCGTTAAAATAATTTGTTGTCCATCTTTAATTGAAATATTCATTTGACTTAGCGCTGACATCTTAACCCCTTAGCGACCGAGGACGGTTCAGGACCGTCATCTGCATTTTTGCGTTGCCGACCGCTGACGGTCCTGAACCGTCCTAACGGTCTTAGTTACTTACCTGATCGCCGTCGTTCCCCCGGCGGCGATCAGCGTGGCTCCCAGTGTGGGGAGACTGCATGCAGCCCAGACAGTCTCCCCACACTGGATTAGGACTCCTGGGGCCATGTGATCGCTCAGCACAGCGATCACATGGTCACAATAGGTGTCCATGTGTCTGCCTGCAGGGGGACTGTCTGTGCTGACAGGCAGTCTCCCTGCTAGTGTAAAATCATTTAAAAAAATAAAGTTAATGTTAATAAAAAAAAATTATATGTGTATACATATGATATATAGACATATATTATATCTATATAATATGTCTATATATCATATATATATATATATATATATATATATATATATATATATATATATATATATATATATATATAATGTCATACTAAGTGTATTTTTATATTAATATGTACTTATATTAATATAAAAATACACTTATAATTAAATTACACACGTGTATGTATATAATATATATAATAACTATAAATATTGTGTGTGTGTGTGTGTGTGTGTGTGTGTATATATATATATATATATATATATATTATAAAATATAAATAATAATTTAAATTAAATTACAACATTTTTAAATAATAAAAAATTATATCTATATGAAATTTTATTCTAACTGTATTTTAAAATTAATATATATATTTATATTAAAATACACTTTGAATTTGTATATATATCTATGTATATAAAAAAAGGAAATATACATATGTCCATATACAAAATTACATAAATAATTATATAAATATACACGTAGACTTCAAATATATAAATATGCATATATATTTAAATTCTACGTGCGTATTTATGTAATATTTTTACATAATTCAGTAATTTTATTGATTGCAATTTGAGGGACCTGCCTGCCAACCCAGGCCGAAATTCCAGAGAATTGAATTTGCTAGCACTGTATTTTACCCTGTAACGTTCTACAACACCCTAAAACCTGTACATGGGGGGGGATACTGTTTTACTCGGGAGACTTCGCTGAACACAAATATTAGTGATTCAAAACAGTAAAACATATCACAGCGATGTTCTTGTCAGTGAAAGTGACTTTTTTTTCATTTTACCAATATTTTTTTCTGGTTTGTCTATTATTTTACAATTTTGCAGCAGAGTTTTGTTTTTCATGCCTATTGTTTATGGTGAATGTCATTAGAGCAAATAACAAGTATGAGTTCTCCCATATTAGCATTAAATCAAAATGATCGAGAATTTAGCTAGTTACCTAGTCCACCAATGGACTCCAAAAAACCATGTAATACGTGGTATATGTAGGCTCCCCAATTATCCTGGGTTCCATTGGCTATACTAAACAAAATGTTAATTTATTGATTCACGAATACCCCACCAGTTCCTGTAGTAGATGCCATTAGCCTCTTTGGAGCTATAGTTCTCACTGACTGCAGTATGGGAGGTTGGTTAACACTGGAAGGGAAGGTACACTGTGACACAGCAAGCAATCAGAACATGGAGGTGGAGAGTAGCATTGCCAAATACAGAACTTTATGTACATTGAAATTCTGTACTAATTTATAAGGTTAATATAAAAATTTAATTTATTGTAACCTGTTTAGTAGACCTTGGTAAATTAGTTGTGTTTTTTTTTTTCTCATTTGCCTTATTTATTCTAGAAAACAATCCAATCGAAAAAACATATTGGCTAATTCTGTTTATATGTATACCAAATAAAATGTTTGTTTTGGGGGTTTTTTTTTAAAACATTTTCTCACATTGACACAAACTCTGTTTGCCTTTTAGATATCTGAATGCCATTCAGACCATGTGCCCACATATCCTTCGATACCTGACTACAGCAGTCATCACCAACAAAGATGTCAGGAAACGAAGGCAGGTTTTGAAAGATTTGGTCAAGGTTATCCAACAGGTAAGGTTACATTTTTCGATTTTACCCTCTATTATATCATACTTGCATTGTAGTGAAATTCCGCACTCTGTATACTCTAGCCCCATGATGCTAGATTCTAACAAAACTACAGTATTCTTGAAGTAAACCTTAAGCGAGCATGTAGCAGCTCCCATAGCAACAGATGTATAATTTTATAATTGATAATATGGTATATTTGCAAACTAGTTAGTTGCTTTGGGGCTAGTTGTGTTAGTACTTATCTTCTGTCCCTCAATTCAGCACAGCTATGTTATGATCACTGTGGGTGTTAACTATTGCAGCGCCCACCCTCTTGTCCTAATCCCTCTTAAAAATTGACTCTGTTTTGTGACACTTTCTCAAGCAGGGCAGTCCTTAAAGGACCACTATAGGCACCCAGACCACTCCAGCTTAATGAAGTGGTCTGGGTGCCAGGTCCAGCTAGGATTAACCCTTTCTTCTATAAACATAGCAGTTCCAGAGAAACTGCTATGTTTATAATAGGGTTAATCCAGCCTCTAGTGGCTGTCTCATGGACAGCTGCTAGAGGCGCTTCCGCGCTTCTCATTGTGATTTCCACAGTGAGAAGACGCCAGCATCCATAGGAAAGCATTGAGAATGCTTTCCTGTGGACTGGCTGAATGTGCGCGCGGCTCATGCCGCGCATGCGCATTCAGCCGAGGAGGAGGAGGAAAGTCGCCCGCCCCGGAAAAAAGAGGTAAATTTATCCCCTTCCAACCCCTAGAGCCTGGCGGGAGGGGGCCCTGAGGGTGGGGGCACCCTCAGGACACTATAGTGCCAGGAAAATGAGTATGACTATAGTGGTCCTTTAATGATGCCAACATGCTGGCTTCATTGCTGAGACCTTGGTATTGGCACAGCATGACATCATTCCACCTGTTCCTTTATCCCATTCCCCCCAGCATAGATTCTCCTGTTCCCCCTGTCATTTAGTCATTGATGTAGACCTCTATGCCTCCAGCTTAGAGAGGTCTATGCCAATTGTTGATTAACCGGTGTGGTTTGAGGCCACAGTTCTAAAAAGCTTTAACACATTTGTTAAATTTATTGCTCTTTAATTTGTGTGTACCATGGCGGGTCCTCTTTAAATTAACAAGCTGGTTTACAGAGCTAATAACTAAACTGTCCAAATATTTTGTGTGTAGGTAGCTATTCTGGAGTATGTTTAAATTAAACATGCATGGATTTATTTTAGATTTGTGCAGTCAAAATCTTTTTAGGGTGGGAAGTAAGGGTTTTGTTTTTTTAATAAACAGAGAAACAATCTAAATTAATTTTTTGTACAGGAATCTTACACATACAAAGACCCCATTACGGAGTTTGTGGAGTGTTTATACGTAAATTTCGACTTTGATGGTGCACAGAAAAAATTAAGAGAGTGTGAATCGGTAAGTTTCTTGCATTCCATACCTCACTAACACCAGATTTTAATGACTTGAGAACTGAATTGCGAAACTTAAACCTTTTATTACCCAAAATGGCATAGGCCATGCATATGATTTCTTTTATTATGCAGAAGTAAAACAGTGCTGGTTCTATTTAAATCTATACATAGATGTGAAAATGTTGTTGTTTTTTTAATTTTTGTATTGCTTAAAAAAAAGCAATTTTCAGACCTAAGAGCTTGTTGTATTTTTTGACCATCTTGTCAGTAAATTTGTAATTACTCACAGGGAAGTGTGTTAGTGTGGAAGTCGGGTATCCTGATTAGCCCATATACCACACCGTTTGATGCAGAATACCTCCCTCATCTGACTTTAATTACAAGAGCTCTTAATGATGATGACAAAGCTTGGAAGGAAGTAAATGAACTTTCCAAGTGTGTTTTGTAGTTTTTCTTCACACAGTAAAATTACAATATAAATCAGGTACATAAAGCGTATAGTTATGCATTTTTGGAAGTAATTAGGATAAACGTATTTAAGTCGAAGGATTATAACGAAGTTACTAATGTTGGTTCTTGCTCTGAGTCATACAGATGGACATGGGATCTGCACACAGTTAGTCATATATGTCTGTGGCTTGTATTTTGTGTGTTGCAAGAAAGCAGCACCATAAAATTGCGAAAACTGTATTTGTTGTTTTTCTTTTTGTTTGTTCTACTCAAACATCAAGCTGAAAAAAAGTCTTACAAGTCATTAGTTTTTCTACATCATACATTATAAATATTCTAATCTGTGATAATGCTTCATTAGACTACTTGCCATACACACTGATGAGTATTATTTTAACATTGAATGTTCTTTGTGTTTAAATCAATAGTTTACTAAACTAAATTTTATGTTTCCAAGATGAAAATCAATCTAGCTTTGTAAAATATGGCTATTTATGACTCCTAAGGTAGCCATCTTGTTTTTGCAACACCGCTTTTTAAAATTTTGCAAGCTGTATATTGTTTATGGAGTTGTGCTCCATATAAAGTGTAAAAAAAAATAAGAGACCGAATTCAATCGTAATATGAAATTTGTTACATTGAACCAGTTAGGTCCCAGCATTACACTGTGCAGGGAAAAGTGTATTTGTTATGTTAGAACACTCTGACCATGTAATAAATGGCCCTAAACCCTCTTCTCTGTGTCCAAGCAATAATGATGTAAAATACCGGTATGCTTAGAAATGGTAAACTGCTGAGCAGGTTTAAAAAAAAAAAAAAAAGGAATTATTGAGCTGGGTTTGTAGTCCTACGTCATAGAACAAGATAAAGAGGTACTGATGAGCAAGTGTTGAATTGGGTGGTGTTTTTTTTGTTTTTTGTAATGTGCGTTTTTCTCCTCCCTCCTCCCCAGAGTTACGTCCTCTGGTTACATGGTAATAGAGCAGGAGATAATTGAATTACAATCCCCTGCATGCCATGTTCTTGTTCTTGCTTTGAGTCTTTGGCTACTGGCAGCTAGTTTGCCAGGAGTGACATAACACAGGGTCTATGGAAGTTTACACAAAACTGGAGGACACTTCAGCCCTTGCCACATTTTGCTAAAAAATAATTTGGATTGCATTAGAATGTTAATGATGTTTTAACTAAATTTAGATTAAATTTTTACTAAGATTTGATGATGATAATTAAAAAGTGACAATACTATAATAACACAATTTAAAAAGGTTAACATTGACACTGTTCTTCATTTAGAGCAATTCTATTTAACTTCTAATTTCAGATTTTAAAAGGTCATTGTGTTATTGCAAATATTAACTCACCGATTGTGTAGACGAACTGTAAAAGTATCCTTTTGCCATTTATTTAATATAGATTTAGTTGGACTCTTGGGTAATGACTGGGGACCTCTCTTCTTTGAGGAACAAAAGCAATATAAATGCCATTGATGGTTTCACAAGCAAACACACATGTAACATCTGCAAGTGATTTGCATTTAAATATTAATGTCTTTAACCCTGCAGAAAAGCAGTAGCAAAAGCTATAATAATGTTTCTTAGCTGCATCTGGCACTAAAACCTCCTTCCTATGATGTATGAGCCTCCAGCTTCCATTTGTACAGTGAGACCATGATTAAATTAAGCAATGTGCTTGTCAGTTCTTTTTTTCTTCTTTGTTGAGCAGTTAGGTGCTCAACAAAATATACTTTCAGAATCTACAATTACATCCCATCCTCACCCATGCATTGATTATCATACTTGACTATATTAATTAGATTTCTATTTTTGTCCTCCAAATTTTTTTCACCCTAAAATTCAGATATATAGCTGTATCCTCTGCGATCTCACACTGGCTCTCGTGTTTTTAGTGAACTATAGTAAATCAACTTGTATGATGTGACTGCTATTCAGTTGATCTCCCCAGATCTAAATGAACTGGTTTTGACATATACATATTGTGTGCATTATTTATTTATTTATTTATTTTTTTTCCCCCACTGCTTTGTGGACTTTATTTTTTAAATGTGGACAATGTTAGTTTACAGAGATATATAATTATTTTTTTTCTATTTCCAAAGAAAGTTGACAAATGAAGGTTGCGTTTCTATAACTTTCATTATATCCCATGTCCATGATAAGGGTAAATTGATGTCGGAGCTTGGCATCTGCAAAATTCCCTGCAAGCTAGACAGTCATAGCATCAGGAGAGTAAGACCCTGCACCAAATCTTATTAGTCACATCCGTGCACAGTGTTTATTGCCGATAAGCACATTGGTTTGACTAGTATGGTCATGAAGGAGCTGGCACTGTACCGAAAGTAACTAGTGAAAAGCCATCACCACTTTAAAGTGGCTTGTCATAATATTGAATACAAGCTTTCAATCACTCAAAAATGTTTTACTTCTTTCACCACTCTATTACAAGTGTATTACTTGACTTGGTTTAATAAAAATATGTTTTGTCATGTTTGTAGGTCCTGGTGAATGACTTCTTTCTTGTGGCATGCCTTGAAGATTTCATTGAAAATGCAAGACTCTTCATATTTGAGACTTTTTGTCGGATCCACCAGTGTATCAGCATCAGGTACATGTTGTGTAACTGCTCTGTATTTCGTCCATTACAGATTTTGAGATTTATATTCAAATAGTGGGTCACACTGGTGTTTAAATAATACTATTTATCAATTAATTTTGTCAAGTAGATTTTATCAGTCTTACCTTTATTACCTCATTTCAGTGCATTACATTTTTGTAATTTTAATCCTCTTTAAGTAAACTGTTTTGTGCTGATGGATCAACCAGCAATACTGTAAAACTTTGTGTAACAGACGACTGCTGAATAATTCAACTTCCTGAGTGAAGCAATGGCAATTGTACACTTAAGTTAGTCTTCCACCATTGAACAATACCAGATTGCTGTATGACTAGCATGCTATGTATCACATCTCGAACCATGAAATAGAGTCCCCAAGCAATCCACTAAACCAGGAAGTGGTGGTTCTGTGTGTGACAGTGCTGCGTGTGGGTAGCAGATTAGTAAAGGAATACTTTGAGGCTTCACATATGTGTACATAAAGGCAGATTATGCAGAAGAAGGGAGTATAATTATCTAATATGGAAACAAATGCGTGCCCATACAACATGTACATTATACAGAATTTTATTAGAAATGTACATCAAATATGGATTTGCTAAATGTCTTGATATGAACCAGATGAAAAATTGGAGGTTTTAGTATTGCTTATCTTAGCCATGTTTTAAAAACTTTGTAGTATTCAACCTTCATGCAGTTTAATTCTCCATATTTTAATCAGTCTCTAAAATTTCTCCATTTTAATAATACTTTTGTTAAAGGAACACTAGACCACTAAACAACTTTAGCCTAATAAAGCAGTTTTGGTATATAGATCATGCCCCATGCAGTCTCACTGCTCAATTCGCTGCCATTTAAGAGTTAAATCACCTGTGTTTCTGTTTATGCAGCCCTAGCCACACCTCCCCTAGCTGTGACTCACACAGTCTGCATGAAAAGAAATGGTTTCCCTTTTAATCAGAAGTAACTTAATTTAAACGTTATCTCCTGCTCTGTAATTTGAACTTTAATTATGTATAGGAGGCTCCTACAGGGTGTAGCAAGCTATTAACAGAGCAGGAGATAAGAATTTCTAAATTAAACCATATTTTCAATACAGGAAGTGTAAACATTAGATGACTTTACAGGAAGTGTTTGGATGGCTGTGTAAGTCACATGCAGGGAGGTGTGACTAGAGTTGCATAAACAACTTGATTAACTCCTAAAGGGCAGAGATTCGAGCAGTGAGACTGTGGGGGAATGATCTATACACCAAAGCTGCTTCATTAAGTTAGTTATTTTGGTGACTATAGTGTCCCTTTAATTTGTATTAATTCCAACAGGACTGCGAGTGGTAGTACAGATAGTGAGCAGAAATGGTGTGCGCAATATTATAAGATTTATCTTCCACAGAAGGGGTTTATGCAAACCTAACAGCGTTACAGGGTCACTATAGGCACCCAGACCACTTCAGCGCATTGAAGTTGCCTGGGTGCACTGTCTCTTTTGCACTTAGGGTTGCAATGTTGAACATTGCAGTTCTAGAGAAACTGCAATGTTTACATTGCAGCTCTAAGTTTGCCCCCAGTGGCTGGAGCTACTGGAGGACTTCCTGGATTGAAGTAGACCATTGGTCCGGTATCTGACGCTTGACGTCCTCGTGCGCTACATGAAGTTTTCCAGTGTCAGATTTTTTTTTCCCCACAAGAAAGCATAGATTCAATGCTTTACTGTGGGAAGGTCTAATGTGTTGCGGGACATCGGTGTCTCCATCTAATGCTGACCTGACCATTTATGAGTGCTAATTATTGCTCTTGGCCAGTATTCCCATCTGAGGCGAGAGATGGGCATACATGCGAGAAAAGATAATTTTCCCTATTCCAGAAGATAACTTATGGAGAATGTTAAGTCTCTGATTCAGCCCAATGTTATTGCTATTTATTCACTTGCGCCTCCTTAGTTAAGCTCTAGTGCATCCAAACTGCTCATACATTAACTGCTATATGTAACTGGCAACTTAACTAAACAGGGGTACGCTGGCAGTAATACAGTTTTACGGTTTGTTTAAGAGCCTGGCACTTATCTCCTGGACTCAACGTGATTTATAATTTCTCCTTCCCCATATCAGGGCTCAAAATTACCACTGGCCGTTATGGAGTGATAATGTCATCCAGGCTCACAGTGACCACTAACCTTTAGGGCTGGCTAATAGTTTTTAAGTTTTGAGTCATATACTATATTTATCCTGTGTGTAACTTGCTGCTTCAATACCCCCTATACACAAGCATCAATCAATGCTGTGGAGAGCTAATTCTAGGTAGGCCTCTTATAAATTGTTTAACTATGTCATGGAAAATCAGCTATTTGAGAGAGATGGATATTGAATAGGGATTCTTTTCAGGCACAGTCCATTAGGACGGCAGTATGTTGACGAAGCCATGAAACTTTATCAGACGTGTAATCAATTTTCGATCAATGTGCTCCTGACCACAAGCGCAGTGTGTTGTTTTTTTTGTTTTTTTTCCTCTCATTATTATTATTCTAGTGCCTTTGCTTGTGTTAGTAACATACTTGGTCTCTGTTTAATTACACCTATCTCCTAAGCACACTGCTTATTGATGTTCGTCGTTTTCTAGGTGTTGCTCGAAGAGGCTCAAATAATAGCAATCAAAATATACTGCTAAACTAACAAATCAAAAATGATTGCTCCAGTTGTTTTAATGACATAAAGCTTATTAAAACCTTGTGAGTTACATCATGCTGAAGGATTTAGGCAGTTTTTAACTCTTACCTGCGTCTTAACACACAACAGAAGCCGTGTAAGGTGCTGCTTCAGAAGATTGAACAGCAAGAAACATTTCTATGACTATACTCTGGGATGCTATAAAATGGTCTATTGATTACTTCTTAAAACGAGTGTCACAACTTAATACACCCTCCCTCCTGATAATGCAATGGTACTCCTTGCTTCAAAGAAACACGCTGTATATAGCGTTTAGTGGCATTTTAACTTGCTGGAGGACAGGACTTTATTATTGAGCAGACATGTGTTCCCCATGGAGCAGCACATGTCCTGACAAAAATCAGAAATCTCCATGATCAGTCTGACTCTCAGGCACGTGAATGGTTTTGGTTGCAACACAATCTTTGTATTTGGTGGTTGTTTTTTTGTTTTTTTTTCTGTTAATGATTTTGCATTTTTTCGATTCTTCAATATACACACTTATTTTGTGCCATTAAATCTTGGAAAATGGTGATTTAAAATTTTTAAATTTTTTTTATTTTTATTTTTATTTTTTTAAGCTGTGCTCAAGGTTCCTTTAATCATAATGCAACACTGGGACATGCATGTTCTGTCGTTATTGGCAAGGGTTACACTCCTGTGCAGCAGATGTTTATAGCTCTGCTCCCCATTCCACCCTTTGGTGATATGTCGGGAGAGGAGCCTGACTGAGGGGATTCCATTGTATGCAATATATTTAGATTTATTTTTTTTAATATTCGTTTACTATTTTAAACATATCTACTGTGTACCGTTTAGCAAAAAGTGGTTGTTTCATCTTATTGCTACAAATGCAAAGGAACAAATAAATATAATTTGTGACATTGTCCATTTGTCAGCTTGATGTGGTATCTATCATGTAAACGAGCAATCTATTTAGGAAATCTGATCTGTACTTTAAAAGTTGAGTGATTCAGAGCTATGCTCCCCGCTAGACGCTTTAAAGTTTATGTACTCACATGTCTAGCGTGACAGTGGAACAGTCTGCACTGGGCGGGTCGTTACTCACTGTTTATTTTAGATTAAAAAAAAGGTAAATTGAAACAGGAAGCGGTAATGCTACAGAGAGGCCCTAATCAATGACTGTCATTGTTCATTTGCATATTAAGAACTACATCAAATATTGAGTAAGCCTGGAAATTGGTCACAAAGATTAGTTGTCATGAAACCTAAGTTTACTCTGCATGTCTGTGTTGATTTTCAATGAGAGATTACCTGAGTAATTATGAAATTGCGTGTTATTTCAAAGATGTAGTTTGTCTGTTGTAAAGTTATGTATCATAAAGTCTTGTGAAGTTTTGGGAACAAGTGTTAGGACGCAGCACATCAAAGCAAACATCCTGCTGAGTACCACTACGGTACTAATTAAGCTAATAGAAAACACTTCCAACGCAGCTATATCAATGGTGTCTCGGGACTGGGCATAATTACCAAGAAGCTGAATAATTGTCCGTCTTTAAAGGGAGTCTCTCGTCCTTATTTTGCACAGTCATGTTTTATGTTTCTGAATAAACTTAATTGGTGTTTTATTGTTAATGTCTATTTGCTTAGAATGTTGGGATTTGTGCTGCATTCTTGAAGTTCATTTGCCTATTGTAGACTGTTTCTCAATGTGTCTCTGCTTAAAAGTATACATGGTTTATCTAGCGCTAACAGGTGTTGTTAGATGGCATGGGTTATCCAGTAAGTGAAGTAGTTGCATGAAAATGATATATTTTTCAATGCATATGGATATATTTAATATAGGAATTCACTGTCCTGTAAATCATGCACTATTGGATTAGTCTAGTTAATAAAGTTTGGTGGAAAGTGTAAACATCATGATTCGTAACCATTTAGGCTGTTTTAACCCCTTAAGGACATATGACGTGTATGACATGTCACGATTCCCATTTATGCCAGAAGTTTGGTCCTTAAGGGGTTAAATTGAAGGTAACTTAATGACATTCTATTTCTATCCTAAAGAAGGAAATAACATCATTGATTTAGGAACCTATGTAGAGGAAATGTTCTTTTACTTTTTCACACCTCTCCTTTAATTTATTTATGTATTTATCTTCTATCCATACTAGGTAAAGGGTTCACCTTTTTATATTATTTAATATTGGTTTTTCTATAAAACAAACTTTAAACAGCTATGCGTGTCCTAAAGCACATTTAGTTATTCTGGGGTGTTATCTCACATATGCATATCCTTAACTCAACTAATGTGTGTACATGGCTTGCTTAATATACTCGTGAAATTAAAGTTGCATATTTATTATTTTAGTCAAAGAGAAAGTATTTGCCATGGACATTATTAGAAACTCGGGGTAAAATAATTTAGGAAAATGGCATTGATGAAGTTAAAATAACCTTAATCGATGGAGTAGAGCATTAAGAGAGAAAAGGGTGAGAGAGTAAATGTGGAGTTGTTTCCTTGTATCGGAAAGCGAAAATAGAGGTCAAGTAGTGAATTTAAAATTTTAGTATGTACTGTGTGTGTAGGACAGGGCCTTGTGCTTTGTCTTTTCAGTTTTTGTGTATTGTGCTACTGTGTGAAGCGTGTGTGCTTTATGTTTCTCCATACTTTATATGAGAATCTGGTATAGGGCTGATCCCACCTGTACAACCACCATGGACATTTTGTCCACTTCACTTTCATAATAATACATATTAATCTAAGTATTTGATAGTGTCATAAAACTAGACTTGCTCTGACTTTAGATTGTCACATGCTGTGATTTGATTCCCCCCCCCCTTCTTGTTTTCCCAATTTAGCATGTTGGCTGATAAGCTGAATATGAGTCCTGAAGAAGCTGAAAGATGGATTGTCAATCTAATACGAAATGCAAGACTGGATGCAAAGATAGATTCCAAGCTGGTAGGATCCTGCTTTCTCAAATAACGATACTAAACCAAGTTTACTTAATGCATGCCTCTATTTAAATAATAAATCAGTACGGGCAATGTTGGCCTAGAATTGCCTCTGTTGAACAGTTGTAATGTTTGAGTCTTCCCAACTGACGAAGTGTAGGTACTTATTTTTATTTATTTTTTTTTTTTTTAATAGTCAAACAATCTTTCTGAATGTTTATTATTATTCTCGCATTTAAACTCTGCAACTGTCTTTCCAGTCAACACCTAACTCGCATGAATAGCGATCTGGCTATGAGCATTCTATTTTATTTAAGTATGTGTATATACACACTGTATGCCTTCTTTAAAAACTTTGAATATGTTGAGAAGGAAAATGCTCCTAACACCATACTGGTGTCACATTAATTTAACTAACCCCAGTTATTATTATTGGCATTTTGTATAGTGCCAACATATTCTACAGCGATTGACAGTCTTATAAAGTGGATATTTAGAGGTGAAGACAGTCCTGCTCAAACACAATTAAAATCTGTAAGGATTTGAGGTGGGCTAATATGTACCGTCGGTGTGTCTTTCTCAAGTATACTTATTATTCTGATTTGGATTCCAACCTGGGTTTCCAAGACAGTGATGCTACCTCTGTGCTGTAACTGGCTGATTATATATTGAAAGTATATAGTACTTTTTATGCAGGAGAAATAACTGATGGCTATTGAGCCAACAGGGCTATGTGATCATTCAAACATGGCTTTTAAGACTGCCTGAGGAGCACGGGCTGCTGGCCTATGATCTTTTCTACTTCTATATTTAGAATGTTCTTTGATTTATGAACTTCATATTGATTGCTTTGAACAGTCTGTTCTTTAAAAAAACCACAAACACTGGCATGAGGTTTGTGTATAGCCAGCACACTGTGCATAATGTGCCTTCTATCGTTTTATTTTAGGGTCATGTCGTAATGGGGAACAATGCAGTGTCTCCTTATCAACAAGTCATTGAGAAGACAAAAAGCCTTGCATTCCGCAGTCAGATGCTGGCTATGAATATTGAAAAGAAAATGAATCAGAACACAAGAACTGAGGTAAGAGAAGGGACTACTTTGCATTAGTATTTTTCGTACGCTTGGCAAAAGGCAAAGCTACCTTTTGTCATGCCTTCAGCCACTAGTGACGTCTGTCTGTGGAGGAACGAACAGTCTTACAAAATTATCCACAAAAATCTTCAGTATTGTACTGTCAGACATGCATGAGAGTGCGGTGCTGCCATTGGTTCCTGTCAGCTGAAGCTCCAGGAACTAAAGAGGACTGGCAGATTACGGTGGTAGCCACGAGGGACAGGTTCAGGTATGCATAACTTGCCACTGCACCTCCCAGTTAATGTACTGACAGTGGCAGCAAAGACCCCAGATGGTGACAGAACTGCTTTTACATGTCTCTCTGTGTGTATATTGGGTTCACTTTTTTTAATTATATGCTGGGAATTATTTTATTTTTCAGTGACATCATTTTTTTTTTTTATAAAGTGCCCTTGCAACGTGGCAAAACCATTTTCCAATTTGAGATATATATATATTACTCTTAGTCAACTTTTTCAGTTTATTTTGTTGGATGCTTTTATTATGTTTATCAATGTTCTGATCAGCATATTCACTCTTTTTTTGCAGGCACCGAACTGGGCAGCTCAAGACTCTGGATTTTATTAACCAGTTACACCAACTAATTCTCCAGCTAAAGCCGTGATAGGCACACAAAAACATTCAAATTTGTAAGATCGGCTTAAGAGCCAACATATTGGAATAAAATTGCTACATTTACTTTTAAATAAAATGAGTCCTTGTGGTTTTGATCATAACTGAAAGTATGTGTGGTTTATGTATGTGAAATGCAACGGTATGTGCTGTGTGTGTAGAGTGATGGGTACTGCATGTCCTATTTAGGTTCATACAACAATATAAACAGAAATCACCTATAATACTAATTGATGTGATTTTATACAATTCTGTTCTTTGTAGATCAACTATTCCTACAAGTGATCTATGGACTTGTCTGATCAAAACAAATGTTGGTCAAACTGCAAGCATCATATTGTCAAAATGTTTGTTATTTATCAATAGAGTATAACATGTTACCTTTTTATGCTTAAGAGTCAGTAAACCTTTAATTGCTTGAGGTGTGACGAGGAAGATTTATTTGTTCTCATATCTGCTTTAGAGATGAGTAAACTGATCAGGAGCGAACGTCTGTTAAAAGGTCAGGCAATTGTCAGGATACATAAATACAAAGTTATGTTTTACTTATCCTCTTACAAACTAAGGTTTTACGGAGTTCCTGTTGTCTGTAGCAATATATTACCAGACAGGTTTATCGGATGAATTTCAGTGCGTGCGCTTCAAATGAATTTAAAATAAAAAAAAATGAAAATGTTTAATGCTAGTCTCAAATATACATGCAAATATATAAGACTTAAATGTAGACTTCTGGGATAAAAACATGATGCAACACCATATTTTGTTATTGCAACCCTCCTAGGATGCCATCCGTAACCAAAAATTACCACATATTGGTGTCATTTATTTAGCTTTCCATCTATGTTGCTGTAGGATCCTTGAGAAGTGAAAACCCTAGGTCCTCCAAGAAGGAGCCAGAGAGAAGAAAACAGTGTAATATAGGACAAGGAGCCACTAACTTTTATTAATCAACTAAGGATAAACAAAACACAGCACTCCATCACAAACTGAAAGTGCATTAAAAGAGAGTGGGGAAAAATTAGATTATATGAAAGGGGAATCTCTATCCATAGCGAAGGGTCAACCACTCCATCCAGAATGAAAATCTCCTCCGTATCCATATCTCATAGGCATGGAAAGTAATGCAGGGTAGTATAATCAGGTGCAAAGTACAGAATTAGGAAAGAGGGAAGAAAGGGCAGAGTGAAATATGTTCTCGCCTCTAAAACACAATTCGCTAACATCTGGTCCCTTAGAATAATCTGCAAGGCCTATCCCAGTAGTCCTACAAATACAATGTTTAGGAAATGTGCCCCCTAAAGAAAAGATAAGAGAAAAGTGACTGACAGAAATGCCCAGAGGTACTACATATACAATGTACCCATGAATATGGGTTTTCATTATCACATTATGTGGGCTACAAGAGTGAGTGTAGGAGAAGTTATAAAAGTATATAAAGATGTCACTGTCCAACAAGGGCTCTAACTAGACAGCCCCTCAAAACAGATTCTAAGTACCATGGCACTGCAGACAACTGCTAGTGCTTGCCTAAACCTGCTGACCTCAATCTTGAAATAAAGAAAGTGAACATATCAATATGTGCTACCTATAATTTTGGCGGCTTGCTCATATCTTTGGATTCAGTTTTGCAGCAAATCTTTAATTTTTTTTTTCACTTTCTTGCTCGAAGATATTAATAAAAGCTTATAGGAGTTATGCGCGAGGACAGTGGTCCTGGAATATAACTGTATGAATTATGTTTGGGAAAAATAATTGGTTGCTAAACTCCAGCAGATGGTGGAAGACCATCAGGTCTTAGTAAGGAAACTTGCGGACTTAGAGGACCGCTCTAGGCAGAAAAACAACCGCATGTGTGGGGTTTAAGAAGCTCTACTGCACATCAAATGCCATGTAACAAAATCCCCTATTGAACAAACTATGCGAACCAGCCCGTTCGGTTATTTAGATGCGTATAGGGTGATTTCGTGAAAATAGTGAGAAAAACAAATGAACTGCCGAATCACCCGACCTCCTACTGAGGTCATGTGGCGCCTATTAACCACCCAGACTCTGCGGTTAACCGCAGACTAATTGGGGAATAGCTTGGTGGTCCATGTTCGTCTACCGAACACGTGGCAATTGCCATTTTGGATTGTCGAACGCCCAGCGGTAAATGGCGGCGATGCTCTAGAACTAATTTCGGATACTTATTTTGTCGAACACCCCTGCTACCTCTCCAGGTCTTCATTCATACGGGGGAAAACACACGAATGCCGGAGACCCTACACCATTCGTGTGTTGGATGTGTGCGAAAGGGACCGACCCAGATAGCTACAGTATGGAACTTGTTGGCGGTTAAAAACACGCGAACGGCCGGTGAAAGTCAAACTTCAGTCGACGTTTTTGAGAACTGTGTTCGTGGGATCTGAACGCTATTCGCCTAGAATATGCACTCAGATCCAAGCTATCTGGGGGTATGTGGGACTTACAGTTTATGTCATGTAAAATGAAAGTTATAGATTTTTATATTGTTTGAATAATAAGAAAAGCCATGTTTCTTTCTACCTGGAGATAATTAAGGCTCTCTTTGCTACCTTAAGTTAATTATCTCCAGGATGGAAAAGAGGGAGTGATTTATGTAAAAGGGGAGTGCTTATGTTATAGCCACTGTGATTGGCTACTGTGATACTTTTGTCTGTCTTCCATCTGGTCCCCTAGGGGAGTGTCCACCAAGTGGGAGACCTGCATAAATACCGGGCAGGTAGCCCACGGTAAATCAGATCGTTTTACCCCTTCATGAAGTCTCGACCCATGTTTGGGGGATTGGGAGTTATAATCACTTAGTTTCAGCTGGATTTCGGGAGAAGCTACAAGGATCAGCACTGCACGAATAGAAGGATCTTTTACATGCCAAAACCTAGAAATTTAATCACAGAAGTGCTAAGAGGTGTGGGGTTAAGGCCCCATTATTTCCACAAGAGTCCGTTATGGGAGCTGCTAGGAAGTCTCCAGCATTGCCAGAGTCGTTCCTTCAGGTGGCGTTATATGCTATCTTTCAGCTGCAACAACAACCACAAAAAGGAAATAATTTGTAAACATTAAAAGGACACTCAGGGGGGCGGAGCTAGCAGCCGAGCCGGCAAGACGCATGAAACCCAAGCTCCGACATTACAGCGGCAAAATAGCCACGGATTCCGTGAAATATACCTCCAAAAACCGGGGAAAGGCTGCAAGAGACTCAGCACAATATGGGGAAACACTCACGAAAACCCCGAGGGTCGTCCGCGGGACATACCCAGGACATCGGGCAACTCCTGTTCCAGGCCTGCAGGCCCAAAATGGCGGACGTCTTTCACGCCATTGGGATGGAGTCACTCTCTGCCTCAGAGGATGAATACTTGAGCGATATGCCGACCCCGACACCCCAAAGGAAGCAACAAACAGCGCCACCAAGGCAGTCAGAACCGCCACTAGCTACTAAGGCTGACCTAACAGGCATGGTGACTGACCTTAAGGCATTCTTCGCGGCAGAATTGGCAGGCCTCAAGACGGAACTGAGCCCACTTACAGGCCGCATGAGAGCCACGGAAGACGCAGTCCAGGACCTGAGAGTCCAACAAGATGCCACAACAAAGAAAACGCTCGAGCTCACAACCTCATGCTCCCAGCTAAACGCCCGAGTAGGGCAACTCGAAGATATGGCGCGACAGAGAAATGTCAAGGTGAGGGGGATCCCAGACACTGTGACAGCGGATGAACTGCCATCCCTCATAAAGAGACTGTTACAAACCGCCCTACCACCCAAACAGGCCAAAGGACTGACCCTAGATAGCCTATTCCGCATACCAGGGCGTCCAAACAACGCCCCAGCCTCCGCAAGGGATGTCATAATGAGCTTCAAATCCCGCTCAGACAAAGACGGATTCCTCCGTGCTGTGAGGAGCCAGACCCCGTACGTCTTCGAAGACCTTACCTTACACTTCTACCAGGACCTGAGCCGCCAGACGCTGCAGTGGCGGGCAACACTGAAAGAAACCACAACACAATTGAGGGCGGCGGACATTCCATATAAATGGGGCTACCCCCGCACGCTAATTGCCACACAAGACGGGCAAAACCACAAACTGACAGCGCCAGAGGAAGCACCACGATTTTTACAAGCTCTAGGCATTCGTCCAGTGGCAGGCGCCCAGAGGAATACGACACACCGATGGGATGTCACCAACATAACACCGTTCACCCCATCGGAGTCGGCAGCCCCAGCGGGAAGCAGCACTATGCACCCACCCGGTTCTTAATATGGGAAAAGTTTTCAGTCACAAGGAACTAATGGATGTACCGGCTGGTTCTATTTTTGTTTGGACTTATTTATGTTTATGCTACACTGTCATGTGCAATGTCCTCCACCGGTTGTGTATAACTTTACATATAATTTGTTTTTCAGCTATGCATTTCTGCGCTTACTGCCGCGTCAGGAGTAGGCCACCTAGTCGGTGGACTGCTCACAGCTAACATACGAACCGCACGATACCCGTCCATACAGGTCCTACGACCTGACACAATCCACAGGACACAGGAGTGACGCACTAACGCCGAAGTTACAGAAGGCACATACTTACACGACGAACCCCCCCCCCCCCAGGCTCCAGGGTTAAGGAGCCTTGATATATATATAGGCGTTTTAATGCCTCTGGCCGTTAATCCGGGGACCCAGAACCAGGAACCCAAGCTCACCTCAGCCTGACACTAACATATCCTGAGCCTGTATACTAGGGAGCTGAACTTAGGAGCGGTGGCCTTTAAACGCTTACCTATCCTGTTATGGTCTAACGCTCTTGGACCCTGAGGCAAATCCACTCACTTGTATACTACCACACTGCTAACAAGCCACCACAGGGAGCTTTGCCTGTCTTTATCATTTAAGAACTGTGCAATCACATGTTTTCTATCTTGTCAACTTTTTTTTTTTTTAAACTGAGTAGCACATATATTGCTCCTGTTGACACTAGCAACCCTACTTAAAGCACCCTCAGGCGATTATAATATTATATTGGCTACTCACAACAACAAACAGTATAACCCTATTTTATCATACTTAAATGCGCTCTGCGCCCAAGCGTAGTATTACTCTCGCTTAAGCACGTATTTTATTTTATTTTTCCACTTGTTGTAATCTACCACCTGTCTAGATGGCACACCCTCGAGTAAATATGTATGTCCTGCATAACCTAGACTGGTACCTACAGCTTATAAAATAATCCTTTCCTATAACAAATGTATACTGTATATGAAACATCATGGCCTGATTCTTGTTTTAAAAAATGTGCAGCACCATCATATGCCACAGAATGCCATACCTCTTGAAATGCCTGTGTTTATTGATGTGGTATGAGAAGCCTGTTTGTTTAACTTGCGCACACAAAAATAAAGAATTCAAAAAAAAAAAAAAAAGGACACTCAAACTATAAGATTGTAGTTTTGAAAACTGTGCCTTCACCCGAGGAAGGCATTTGTCTGCTCTGGACCTGTGTAAGGATTCATCTAAACCACAAAAATCCTCCCCTCAATGGTTGAAACCAGAGTGGTCACAAGCAAAGAAGAAACAGAAATCTCAAATGACTTACACCTTGCAAACGCATGGATACAGGAGAGGGCATCTAATGGATGGCACTGATGCACCCAGTTGTGAAAATGCATTATTATAATCTGTTGGGGGGGGGTGTTTTTTTAAATGTGTTTTAATTTTGAATCTTTTTGCTTTAATCAATGTATCACTGTTTAACTTTAGTGGAAGTAGTGTTGCTGTTCTACATTACCAGATTTTCTGGAAACACGCCTAAATGGCTATGAACATTCCTAGAAGATTGATAATGTGCGGTGATGTAATGGATCCCCAGGACTTGATCTAGTTCAGTGGATGCTTGTTAATTGTGTAACATGTTTTATGTAAAGATTGATGGAGACTCTCCAGATATATGGTGAGATTTCTATCTTAGACTCAAGCATTACCAATAGGCTTATCAAAAGAAATCAAGCAAGTTCTGTTGCACGACTTCCACTCTGAGTAAAGATAAAAATCCCTTACTTATTGAGAATTCAGCTAGTGACCTTGAAACAGAACATGTTGGTGGAAAATCAGTGCAAATTATTCAAGTTATGTGGACTGGGGAGGGAGTGCAGTGGCTAGGTCGCATCAATTCAATTAAAATGATTGTGCCACTGACCCTATATATTCATAATCCTTACCCATAACCATATTTAGAGCTATTCCCAATTCCATATTCAATTGTTCCAAATTTCAATGGGTACTGAATGCCTATATTTGAAAACTTAAACTCTCCAGGTTCTTTCATAATATGGCATGGTGAGGGTTGTTTGGGGAGTACTCGAGTTTAGTAGCACTTCTCTGAACTCTATCTAAAGTATCAATATCCTTCTGGAGATACGGTCTCCAGTACTGCGTACAATATTTCAAGTAAGGTCTCACCAGTGTTATGTACAATGGCATGAGCACTTCCCTCTTTCTACTGCTAATACCTCTCTACAGCCAAGCATTCTGCTAGCATTTCCTGCTGCTCTATTACATTGTCTGCCTACCTTTAAGTCATCTGAAATAACCACCCCTAAATCCCTTTCCTCATATGTTGAGGTTAGTACTGTATCAAATATTCTATGCTCTGCCCTTGGGTTTTTTCGCCCATTATCTTACATTTATCCAAATGCATCTCTCTCCTGGAACACCAACCCTGTTGGAAATTTATCATAAGCAAAAAGACATACCTTATCATCAAACCTTCTGCAATATCACTATTAATTTTTTATTTATTTTTTTAAATTGGGTTCAAGAAGAGATCCCTGAGGTACCCCACTAAAGCTTTAGTGAAATCTAGGTGAGCAATGTCTATTAAACCATATTGATCTATTATTTGTTATCCAATCGAAAAAATCAACAAGATTAGTTTGGCATTAAAGCCCTGAAGTAAAGCCATGTTGTATCTGATCTTAATATCCGTGTTATTTTAGAAGTTCAACAATTCTATCCTTTAACATAGTTTCCATTACTTTCCCCACCATTGAAGTAAAACTTACTGGGGTTTATTTGCCTGACTCCTCCCTACTACCTTTCTTGTGAATTGGCCAATATTCACTAATTTCCAATCTTCTGGGACTACTCCTGTTAACAGTGATTGGCTATATAAATCTGTTAACAGTTTTGCTAGTACAATGCTGCTAATAAAATGCTCTTGATTTATTCATAATAAGCAAGTGTGGACACCTCTATAAAAGCCAGAGTTTTAGCCGTATGCTAGTCTTGAGCATACAGTTGTGCGTTAACACAATGTTCTTAGAGAAGTAATTATTGTTGCCCATTGAACTGAGAAGGGTTTTAAGGCCATTTCCAAACTATTTAAAGTCTACTAATCTACAGTGAGAAATATTATTCAAAAGTGGAAAACTTTTAAAGACCTTTGCCAATCTTCTCAGGAGTGGGTGTCACACCATGGAACGCTCAGAGAAATTGCCTTATACAGCTCCTGTCCCCCCCACTCCAGCTCCTGCCCACCCCCCTCTCCAGCTTCTTTACACTCTCCTCTCTAGTTCCTGCCCCCCCTCCTTTCAGCCCCTGTGTCCCTCACCACTGCCTCTGTCTCCTCTCTCAGCCCATGAAACCTGATTTGCCCCCCACCCCTCTAAGTCCCTGGGGGGAAGAAAGAGAGACACAAGGGAGGGTTGTAAGAGACACACAAGTGGGTGTAAGACATAGTAAAGGGGGGATAAAATACAATAAGGAGGGGAAAAAAATAAAAAGTGGGTTATGAGACACAGGTGAAGCTGTGTAGCTTAAAATCCTTGCACCGGCCCTGCTCCCGCAGGCCAACCACTCCTCCTTCCCTCCAGCTCGCAGTGCCAGAGGAGCATCTGGCCTGCTTGAGAAGAGCAGGGCTGGAACTGGAGGGCAGACTGCTCATCTTAAGGTTTGGGGAGGGGGAAGTGTATTAATTTGAGGAACGGAGAGAGCAGTGTATTAAATTGGGGTAGGAAGTGGGCAATGTAATAATTTTAGGTAGGGGGCCAATGTATTAATTTGGGGAAAGGAGAGGGCAGTGTATTAAATTGGGGGAGGGAGTGGGGCAGTGACTTCAATTGGAGTGGAGGGGGAGGGAGCAGTGTATTAGATTGGGTCTGCATGGAGGCGCTGACTGGCTACGCAGCTTTTTGCCACACATGCACAATAGCCTCCCAATGTTTTTCTATGGGAAAGCACTGGATTTGCTGAGATCATTAAGTTACGTGTTAACCTTTGAGTTTGACATGCTTGCCTTACACCAATAATTGCTCAGATGGACACTAGCCACATTTTAATATAGTGATTTTGGTTCATAGATGCTGTTCCTTTTCTCAAACAATGTCAAATATTGCCATTTCTGGGAAACGTTTACATTTGGTGGAAAAGGTCTTTATATTCTATGTTGAAATCCGCTAATGATGTTCATTAAAAGCATTGGATTGGGTGTCTTGTGTCTAGATTACAGGTCATTTCAACAAATTTCGGATTGCTTTCTTTTTCTTTCCTCCCCCCACCCCCCCATCTTTTCCTCTGATATATAGCACAAATGCAGTAAAGGTTTATATCAACAGAAAAGCTGCTAGAATTTCCCATTTGAAAACCTTTAGTACA